CCCTCCCTGGCTCCGAGTGCCCCCCTGAGGAAGCACAGACACCCTCAGGGCAGGCCCGGTGGTGCCCATCCTCACCCCACCAGGCCAGGCCCCACTCCAGTGCTGACAAGTTTAGTGAGACCTCTGGGGTGCCCTGCCCCCTCAGCCGGCCCCCTGTCCATCACTCACCACCCACTCGCCCCCAAGCTCCACCTCCTCCTGCCACCCAAGTCGTACCCAGGCTGAGTCTCCTTTAACATGTCCTGGCAGCAGCTCATCCTGCCCCCACAGCCCCTCTCGCCGCAGCACCCCGCCCCCCCAACATGCACTCACACACACCAGCAGCTGCTGAAGCTGTGGAGTGGGGGGGGCCTGGGCGGGTGGGGTGCAGGGATTGAGTTACCAGAGGCGGATGGGGTGGGCTGTCACCCAATCCCTTCCCCAGCTCGCCCTCCCTGGGCACCGGCTCCCTCGCTCACCCACCTGCTCCCCTCCCTCAGCTGGCTGGCAGCCCGCTGCTCCCTGGGCCCCTCCACAGCCCCACTCCGCCCGGCGCGAAGAGAAACGGTCTAGAGTATTTGTCATACTTGGAACAGTCCAGGAGACGAGAGCGAGCGAGAGGAGCAGGCGCGAGACAGGGACGAGCGGGGCAGACATCCCTGCACAGGCAGTGCCAGAGGGGACTGGGGGACACCCACCCCGCCCCCACCAGACCCCAAGAACTGCTTGGGGCCCCAGAGGGGGTCTGCAGGCTGAATCACCTCCATCCATTTGCACTATTGATTTCTCACACGCTGCTGCTGCCGCTGCCGCTGCCTCTGCTCTGGGCCTGATGGAGGTGGGTGCGCTAGAAACCCACGCCCCAGCGCCCCAGACACGGAGGAGAAGTGGGGGAGGGGCTCTGAGCCACAATCAGTGGCCCCCTGAGAGGAAGGCGGGGGCGGGGACAGCCGCAAGCAACACTGACGCTGGTGAGTGGTAGAAGGTGGGGTGGCTGTGATAGAGTGTCAGGAAGGTCCCTCTGGACCCCTCTTCAGAGCTGGATGTGAGATGGCCTGGAAGCAGAAGGGTGGGAGACAGACGCCTTGGCCAATAGGCCCTCAACAACTCCAGGGGGCGCCCTTCACATCACAGCAGTCTGTGGAAAGCGCCTCCAGCAGGTGCACAATGACCCAGGGGCAGAGGTGAGACTCCAAACCTCCCCTGAACTTGCACCCTGACATCTGACCATCTGATCCCTCCTGGGGTGCTCGCTCCACGCCCTCCCTCCGAGCCAATGCCCCATGACTCTGTGTGTGTGTGATATGTATGTGTATTCTGTGTGTAGGTTCTGCACATGTGTGTATATGTAAAAGTGTGCATGTATTTATATGATTATGTGTATCAGTGTGCCTGTGTATGTGTGTATGTGTTTATGTATTTGCATGTAGGTGTGTATGTTTCTGTGTGTATGGATGGCATGTGCCATGGCCCAGGAACTCATGAAAGGTCTGAAAGTCTCATCTGGCCTGTCCCTACTTATCCCTGGCACTCAGGGTCTCTAAGGTGGACTTAGTGCGATGCCCCTTCCTACGTCATGGCCGAGCCAGGCGCCCCAGTCTGTGAGGTCAACGGCTACAGGCCCCTGAGCAAACCCCAGCTCCAGCCCCGCAGTGGAGACCTGCAAACAAACCAGCTGAGGGTTTGGGGGACCCTGTACACTGGCCTGGGTCCTCTTGCTGCTGGGGGGTATAGGGCAGGTGGCGAGGGGTAGGGAGAGGACAAAATGGCCCTCAAGGCCTAGGGTCCTGTCCCCTTGCAGCTGAGAACTGATGGAGTATCCCTGGGCAAATCCTCCCTCTGAGCCTCAGTTTCTCTCTCTGTGACGGGGGCAGGGCTGTCTGCCTGGCCTCTGGAGCGCCTTCCGGTTCTACGCCTAGACAGCTCAGAGGGTGCCACCAGCCGCCCGCCCTCGCCCACTCCCCTTCACCTTGGCCAGCCCCCCGCCGCCTGCCCGTGCTCTTCTGCACGTCCCTCCTGCCAGGGGACAGACCGACTAAAAATATCCCTGCAGCCTTTCTCGCCCACAGCTGCCCGAAGTGCAGGAAATGAGGGGGGCAGGGAGGCCCCGTCCTACTCTCCCCCACAAACTCCCGGCTCAGAGCCCTGTCCAGCACTCCAGCCCGGGGCTGCTGCCAAGTTGGCCATCTCAGGGGTATCCCACACCCCTTCCCCGAGGGGAGGCGGGGGAGGCCTGCCCACAAGTCCCAGAGCTGTCCGTGGCCCCAGGAGAGGAGGCGAGCGGTCTGCAGGGAAACCTTCCCAATTTCTGACAAATCAGTGCCAACCACATCGTGGCCGCCGCGAGGGCAGGGCTGGCTCCACTGACTGGTCTTTTGAGGGCAGAGGGAATTGGCGCTGGGGAAGTTGGTGCCAGTTTCCTTCATCCTGGCCCAGCTGGAGCAAAGACAAACTAGTGCCCCAGCCGCTCATCCACTGCTTCCCCCTCAGAAGGTGGGGGTGCAAGCATGGGGAAGGGGGGACATTCAAGAGCCACCCCCAGGTACCAGGGGGGAAATGCTGAAAAGAACGGAAGCTCGTGGCTACTCTCCTGGAAAGATGGGGGGGGGCTGGCAGCGAGCATACACACACGGGCACGGGTGCCCCCAAGCTCAGTCAGAGGCTGGGGGGGTGGGGAGGGAGGAGGCTGGGGGAGGCTGGGGTTTAGGGGCTCAGGGGCTCCCACCCTAAGCCCACCTGGGATTCCAGACACCTCCCAGCCCTGGGAGAAGGAGGAAGGAAACCAGCTTAGCGACTCTCTGGGGCCTGCAGGGAAGCGTGCGCCAGGGGCAGGCGGGAAGCCCAGGCCTGCTGGCCCCGGGCCCAGAGCAAGGGAAGTGCCTCCACCTCCACCTCACAGAGCAGAGGGCCTGAGGGACAGCCCTGCCTCCCGCAGCGCCCAGCTGGGACCCGGCACAGAAGGGAAGGGAAGGGGCGGCTCTCCTGAGAGAGGCAAGCCAGGGAGGGGGAGAGCTGGGAGGGGGGCACGGGAAGGGGGTCCTCCCCGCCACACCACACACGGGAGAGGGGAGAGCGACTGAGCGTCAGGGAGGTCCTGGGTGACCCCAGAGGTGAGCTGCTGCCCACACAGCCCCTGCCAGCAGCCGGGCAAGTGGGGAGAGAGCAGCCCGCAGTACCTGGGGGGCCTGGGCAGTGCCAGGGGCCGCCCTCACCGTCCGCTGCCTGCCCGCCTGCTCCCAGCCGCCCCACATAGTTCCGCTGTCGAGTCCGATTAGGGCGCCTGCCCAGTGAGCCGGACAAGGAGGCCACGGGTTGGGGAGACGCAGGGACAAGGACGTGGAGCAGGAGGGGCCGGAGGAAGGTGCAGACAGAACGGGTGCTGGGAGAAGGCGGGGAGACCCAAGGAGACAGCCAGAGGTGACGGAGATCACGTCCCTCCCGACCTGCTCTCTGGGGACAGCCAGGAACCCCCAGGAGGGGGGTTCTGAGCCCCCCACAGCAGCAGCCCTGCCTGGCAGCCCTGCCTAGCGTCTCACCCCCCCACCCCCCAGGGGGACAGAAACAGTGCAGAGACTGACCAGGGTACGAGGCATAGGGGGAGAGGTTGGGCAGTTCTTCATCAGCCTCCTAGGGCCATTTTTACCTAAAGAGAAACTGAGGCTCAGGAAAGCTGCACAATTAAGGGGCCCAGCGAGTCTCAGAACCTCAACTTTCAGCCCCAGGCTGAGGATAGAACTGAATCTAACATCACTTTATTACCCAGGGGATTCCGGAGCTACGAGTGCACCCCTCCCTTACAGCTACCAGATGGGGACAAGCCTGCCACCCCCTCATTACAGAACAAGAAGGGCTCCCCCAAAGCCTGAAGCTCGCTGCTCCACTCCCCTCCCAACTACCAGCCAGAGGCGAGGCACAGGCTGCCCTGAGGTGCCATCCCTCCACTAGCCCACCCGAGCAAGTAGGTGCCCCAGATCTCCAGATCTGGGGGGGGTCTCCCCCCCCAACCCTGCACTGCATGGGAAAAGGAAGCCATTGCAAATAGCTGGCACCATCCGGCCTCTCCCAGAGAGCCGGCAAGAAGGCAGAGGCTCTGGGTAACACCAGGAGCCCAGGGAGCTGGCGGGCAGGACGGGGCGGCCACCCCACTCTGGTCCACCCCCTGCCCTCAGCCATCTGGGCTGGGCCTGTTCTGGCTCCCAGTCGGTCAGTCACACTCTGGGATCCGGCCCCTAGATGCACACAGCCACCTCCAGGCAGAGCTCACAGCTGTCACAGCCACATGGTCTGAACACACACACACACACACACACACACACACACACACACACACACACTCAGGTCCTGGGGACACTTTACAATAGGTGACGAGGGGGGTCAGGTGTTGGCAGGGAGGGGGCTCCAAATTGAAAAAAAACTTTCCCTGGAGAAAAGGTCATCAGTAGAACAGCTCCACTGGTGTCCAGCATCTGGCCAGCTGGGGGGGGGGGCCCAGTCTGACAGGGCCATCAGCACCCTACAAGGTGAGAAGCCCCCACCCCACCCCCAGGCGGAAATCCTGAGCTCTTGGGGCCACAAGGAGGCAGAGAAGGAGTGGGAGAGGAAAACACCCCCCAAGCACCCCACCCTGGGAGCCAGGGATCCTCCCCTGCTCCCCCCACCCCACAGCCCTGCCAATTCTCCTGGCGAGTGAGGTGGGGGAAGGGGCATCAGGAAGCACCACTGCAAAGGAGGGTGCAAGGGCGTGGGGCCTGGGCAGACCTGCCCCCCACGTTCTAGTCCAAAAGGAAGGGGAAACCCCCCTGGGGCCAAGTGCGGAGCCGGGGCTGAAAGGTGCAGGGGTGCTGGGCTCGCAGACACCCCGGCTCCCAGGTTCGGGCTCCCCCTCCCAGGACCACCGCGAGGGTGGGGGAGGAGGGATGGGGAAGCCTGCGCGGGCAGCAGGGAGCCGGCCAGAGCACCCGCAGAGAGGCTGGGCGCGAGGCGGCCCGGAGGGAGTGGGGCAGGGGTGTGCGTGGTCCTACCTGCTCAGGCTGCGGCTGGCAGGGGGCGATGGGGTTCCCAGGAGAACCGGGGAAGCCCTCTCAGCTCGATTCAGGATTCCCCCCTGCTTCTGGGTTAGGCTGCTGCAAGAGGCAGGGCTCCCGTTGGGTCCTAAAGCCCTCTCTCCCGGCCCGGCTCTCCCCGCCCTCCGCCAGCCCTGGGACTGGGTCAGCGGGGCAGGGCTAAGGCCACTGGCGAGCCAGGGCGGACAGGGAGAAAGACGACGGGGGTCTGAGTCACGCGCGGGGGACTGGCACAGCACCTGGGGGAGCTCAGCGGAGGCGGCAGGGTGTGGGACAGGGCCAAGCAGACATCTCATCTTGCCCCCTGCAGCGAACAACCAGAAGCTGCGGGGAGGGGGTGCGGTGCCCAGGCCTGAGTGGGGGTCTGGGGTCGCCCTCTGGACACTCCTGCCTAGACACTAGCGAGGAAGGATTTCATTTTTATTTTTGGGGGGGGCCCATCCTGCAATGCTCAGGGGTTACTCCTAGCTCTGGGTTCAGGAATTACTCCTAGCCGTTCTGGGGGGGCCATACGGAATTCTGGGGATCCAACCTGGGTCAGCAACAAGCAAGGCAAAGGCCCTCCCCACCCCTCCCCCTCCCTCCTCTGTCCTATCTCTCCAGCAGGGGAGGATTTGAAAAAGGGGTGTCCCCTCCACCTCCCCTCCCCCAGAGAGCAGCCGGCCCCTCCCCGCCCACCGGCCAGTGTTCCCCAATACTAGGTCACCCCGGGGTGGGGATCAATCCCTTTCCAACAGCAGGGAGAGGAGATGAGATAGGGCAGTCTGCTGACGGAGGGGTGTAGCTGGCAGGACTGGGCCTGCTGCCAAGGCACTTGGAGCAACAGGCTGCGGACCAGACCCTCGGGTCATGGAGGGCCCTTCACGGAATCCCGACACCCCCAGAAAAATGAACTCCAGAAAGGACATTTCCCCAGGCTCAAGCGAGGGGGGCAAAAGACCCTCGGGACTGTGAGATCAACTTCAAGGTCACAGCCCCCAGCTTAGGGGCACACCACACCCCCTCTCGTGGGGGGGGTTCTAGAGGGAGAGGCCAGGTTTTGGGGGACAGGGCCCTGCTGGTATGTGGGGGGAGGTGTCTTCGGAAGAGGATGGAGGAGAGAGCATTTGACAAGGAGAGTTGCACAGCAGCAGAGCAGGGGAGAGTGTCAGTGGGGTGAAGGGCCAAGGGAAGCGAGGGGCCAGGCTGGAGGGAAGCTGGGGCTCCCCTTAGAAGGGGCAATGGGGCAGCTGCGGGGGCGCTGTGAGGGTTCCTCTGGCCGGCAGGAAGCGCTGGGGGACGGCGCTGTGCTGTAGGGATGGAGCCCCAGGGTGGAGTCCAGGGGTGAGTTCAGGTCAAGCCTTTCACCCTAATGTGCCTCAGTTCTCTCCCAGCTGTTAAACAGGGCTCCTGGGTCTTCCCAGGCAGTTAATGAGTGTTTACAAAAGAGCTTGGCGAGCCTCAGATCTCAGCTGGGCGACCACTCCAGCGAGAGAGAGCCGGCAGGGCCGCCGAGTGGGATGGGGGCTAGGGAGGAGCCCCGGGGAGACGTGGGGACGCCGGGGCCCAGGCGGGCTCCACGCCGGCTCTCGAGAGACCCACGAGCCTCCGTCTGCTGCTGCCACAGGATGTCCGGGTGCCCAGAGAAGGAGGTCACGCTCCCCGGTGCCTCCAGCCACCACCCAAGGCCAGCCTGGCCTCCAGCGAGCTGCAGGCAGGACGCAGACAGCAGCTGGTCTTCATTAGCTCCAGCTCCTCACCCCCCACGGCGAACCCACAGCTCCTACAGGCCTGGCGAGAGGGGGCTGCCCCAGCCCGACCTTGCAGCTGACTCTGGGGGGGTGGGGGGGCGCCGCCGCAAAGAGCGAGATCCCCGCCGGCAATAAAGTGGAAGGCGGGCAGACTCCCTTTTCCCACTGGGGAGCGAGGGAAGAGGGAGGGAAGGAGCGTGGGGGTGAGGGGGTGGAGGTAGGGGAATTTAGGGCAAACAGCAGGCAGTGAAGTCAGCTGGATGGAGGCCCAGAAACCCCCACCGCCCGGGGCCAAGTCTTACTCGGGCTTTGCTTTCAGCTCCGAGTCTTTTGGCTCAGCCCCAAACCGGGGACGGCCCTGGCTGCCCCTTCCCGCCTCCCTCCCCCCCCCCACCCTTATTAAATACACATTTTATCTCTCAGCATCTTCATTATCTTAACTGAAGGAGACGAGCGCTGGATGGCGGCGGCAGCGGCAGCGTGGGGGGGGGGCGGGGTGTGGGGTGCAGGCGCACCCTTGTTATAAAGTGCTGATCTGGCTTTTTCAGGCAGTGTGGGAAAGAGAGGAGGGATCAAAGGCGGGAGGCTGATTCAGAACTCAATTAGAGCTTTTTAAAAGAGGAGTTGCCGCTCTCTGCTCTCTGCACAGCTCTCCCGCCAGCCTTCAGAGAGAGGGCCTCTACCCAGGCCCCTCGCACCCAATTAGCTTCTGTGGCCGGTGCATTGGTGCGTTGGGGCGGGGGTTGGGAAGCCAGAGGGCACCCCTTTCCCCCCTGCAGGACATACCTCACAGGAGGCCAGAGGCCAGGGAGCTCTGCGAAGTTTGTGCTTGAGAGAGAACATCTTAGATAACGCCTCCTTATCTTTTGTTTGATTTGGGGGGCCACACCCAGAGATGCTCAGGACTTAACTTCTGGCCCTGTACTCAGAAATTACTCCTGGCAGAGCTCAGGGGACTGTAGACAATGCCCAGGATTGAACCCAAGCCGGCCAGGTGCCCTACCCGCTGGACTACAGCTCAGGCCCAAGGGCACCTTATCTTTCCAGGTGGACCCGAGACTCCCAAGTCTCCTGTCCCACAGTTGAAATGGGCATCCAAAGTGGGCTAATCTCTTTGCTGTGGTTTTTTTTTTTTTTTTTTTTTTTTTTTGCTTTTTGCTGGTGATGCACAGGGGTTACTCTCAGCTCATGCACTCAGGAATTACTCCTGGCCGTGCTGGGATGCTGGGAATCGAACCCAGTCAGCTGAGTGCAAGGAAAAAGCCATACTCGCTGTGCTATCGCTCCAGCCCCTCTCTTTGCTGTTTCGGTTTGGTTTGGGGGCCACTCCGGATTCAGTGCTTGAGGAGGCAGATGCTGCTCCTGGCTCTGCTTGTGTGGTCCAGCCAGGTGAGGGGACGTGGAGTGAAGCTGGATTCCCAAAGGTAAAACTTGAACTCTGGCCCTCCAAGCCACCTTCCCTCTAGGACACATGCAGACAGGGACCCACATCAGACCACCAGCCAAACGCCCCCAAGACTGGGAGCAGGCCTGGCACGGGGAGGACAGAAAAGCAGCAAAGTGCCAGGGCACCTACTGCCCATTAACAACTGCTCATTGTCTATTCACTGAGCTAAGTGCTGGTACTCAGACAAATGTAAACAAAACCCTCCAAGTTTTTGTTTGTTTGTTTGTTTGTGGGCCACAGGACTGCAATCAGGGGGATCACTCCTGGCAGGACTCAGGAACCATATGGGGCGCTGAGGGCTACATCCAAGTTAATCGTGTACAAGTGCCTTCCCTGTATCCCTCCAGCCCTGAAAGCTCACTTTTTTTTTTTTCTTGCTCTTTGGGTTACACCCGGCAATGCTCAGGAATTACTCCTGGCGGTGCTCAGGGGACCATATGGGATGCTGAGGATAACACCCAGGTCAGTATTACTCTACCTGCTGCGCTATCGTTCCGGTCGCCATCAATTTCACTCTTTGGGGGTCTTCCCCTCAGCTGTTTTGGTATCATGTCAATAAAATTTTTTCTTTTAATTCTCTCATTTTTCGATTCTTTTTGGTGTATCTTATTAAAAGGGAACTGGAGGAGGGGGAGGATGAAGTACTAGTAGAGGGGAGGGCATTTATCTTGCACAGGGTCGACCAGGATTTGATCCCTGGCACATCATAAGGTCCCCTGAACCAGCCAGGAGTGATCTCTGAGCATCACCAGACGTCCTGACCACAGCTAGGTGTGACACAAAGCCAAAAAAAAAAATAAGAATGGGAATTTGGGGGGCTGAGGGGTAAGAAACATGCCTTGCAGGTATAAAGCCCCAAATTCAGGCACCACATGCCCCCTAGCATGGAACCCTGCATGCAATACCACCAGCTTCACATGGAATTCTAAAAAAAAGATATAGTACAGCAGGCAGGACACTCACCTTGTACCAGGTCAACCTGGGTTTCCTGGCAACCTATCAGGTACCCGGAGCCCCGCTGGGAACGATCCCCCTGAACACAGACCCAGGAGTTAGATTCTAGCACCAAGGAGTGTGGCCCAAAACACACACACAAAAGAGGACAAAGAAATAACTCAAAGAGCTACAGAGCATGCTTTATTTATTTATTTTTTCTTTTTGGGTCATACCCAGAGATGCTCAGGGATTCCTCCTGGTTATGCACTTAGGAATTACTCCTGGCGGTGCGCAGGGAACCATATGGGATGCCAAGGATTGAACCAGAGTCAGCCACGTGCAAGGCAAATGCCTTCCCCACTACTGTACTATGGCTCTGGCCCCTACAGAGCTTGCTTTGATTATAGAAGCACCTGGTTCAATCCCTGGCACTGCACAGTTCCCCATTACCAGAATGACCCCCATGCACTGCCAACGTACCCCAAAGCAAGCCCCAGATACAAGACATTTAGGGGGCTGGGGTTTGACTCAAACAGTAGAACACATGCCTTGCACGCATGGGCTTAATCCCTGGCACCATGTGACCTCCCAAGCACTCCCAGGTTTAACCTCCCAGTACCACCCTCCATCACATACAAAAGGGCATTGAATAAAGGTGGGAAGCAATGGAGAGAGTACAGGCTGCACCGGATCTGGTCGCTGGACATCCTGCTAGTTAGTTACCTTGCCACGGGGGCAAGTCTTCATTCAGCCAGAAAAGTCAGGGCTGAAACTTACCAAGGGGCTGATTTTGTGTTTGTCTGTGTCTGTCCCTAGAGACACTCACAAAAGCTCCAAAGTAGCTTAATCTGCTTCTTTGAAGAAATACAGAAATTCACAACACACCCATCTTGTAGAAGAATGTAGGATGGACCTCCTTGCCACTCCGCTAGGTCTTAGGAATAAAGAGGACCCACACGCCCAGCCCACTACAGATCCTAGCACCTTCCTGAGCTCAGCCTCAGTGAGTAAAGGACTCCCTTCATTCTCTCCAAAGGCTCCCAGCTGTCTGAATTACACTTAAGACTTCACTGACAAACATCCATCAGCTCTTGCTCCCACAAGGGCAGCGGAAACCAAGCGGGGACTCTAAGTCGGCTTCACGCATCATTGACAGAACCAACCCTGTTCCAATTGCTGAGGTCTTAAGAGCAGCAATGACCTAGAAATCCACAGTTGGGGGAGCGAAGGAACAGAAATGAACACACCAGTACACCGAAACTCCTCTTTCCAAGTGCCAGGGGAAAAGGCAAGAGAAAAGAAGAGAAAGGGGGTTGGGCAACCAAGCCCCTCGGATGCTGAGCACTCGAGCTTGGCGCCAGGCCAGCAAGGGTCCACTTCGAGTCAAGCCCTGTCCCGGACTCAAGACACAAGCCCGGCTGAGGAGGAAGGCGCCAAGCCCCAACACAGCGAGGCGGGCAGGCTGCTCCTTCTTGGGCAGGATCCTACTGTGGACACAGAACAGACAGCAGCTGCCCACAGTGTGGAAACAAACTGTAAAGCAGTCACGTCTCTTAAGGCTGCAGCATCCAATAAAATGTAATTTAAATCAAGCCTCGCATCTGTTCTCAATCCCGTTCCGTCTCTGCTTTCCATCAGCCCTCGGACAATCTTCGCAATTATGATCATTAACCCTTCTTGCCCCAAACGCTTTCCAAGCTTCTGGGGTTCCGGACCTGAGTTCTCCCACTCGCAAATCTCCCTGAGAGTGAATGTTCTGAGCTAGGAGCGCATTGGCCTAGGACATGCTGACTCTCGTTCCCCAGGTTGCTCCACACTGCAGTGTAGGAGTGTCCAGTTCCCAGGATTGTGTGCCCGTCTCTAGCTCAGACCACCTGTGGTAGCCCAGATCACGTTGCAAGGCACAGCGGGCTGCATGAATGGATGCTGGTCAACAAATCAACCTGAGGGTGTATCAAGTTCCCAAACTCAAGCCTGTGTCCTGGGCAAGAGAGCACATGAAAGAGCAGAGACTCGGCCACTGGCTCACAGACACCACACGTGGTTTGAAGTCCAAGTCTTTGCTTGAACTAGAAAGCCCAGCAATCTCCCACATGAATCAAACATAGATTTTTATCCCTTTCCCTCAAAACTACCCCAGTACCACCCAGCCACTTCCAGGCAGTGTTGTAATGATGCCCCCTGGTGGCCACGCCGCAAATTGCCATGGGAGCCACTGAAAACCAAAACCCCCAAGAAGCCAGACTGGAGTAAGCCACATGGAATCATTTAGCGAATTGGCTTAAAAGCACAGGAAGTGAGGACGAAAAACCCAGCCCCAGACTCAGGCACCTTGAAACAAGTGGTTTTATCGAAGGGCAGTTAAGACGATGGGACAGTCTGAGGGAAGACTTTCCACAGATCCTTCTGAAAACTTGCACTTTTGGGAAAAAAGACAAAAGAACACAACTTGAAAATAAATATATTCATGATTTACAGCGTCATTTTCTCTTTGCCATCCCCACAACCTGGGGAGTGACCAAGAAACCACGAGTCTCTAAAAACATCACAGTGTAGAAGATCCGCAAGGAGGCACAGTCCACACCAGCCTGGAGGTTTGGGTCTCTGCGTCCCTCTCCACGAACTTGTTTACCTTCCTGAGTCTCAGTCTTCTTACTCTTGCCCCAAATTTGTAAAAAAAAAAAAAAAAAAAAAAAAAAAAACCCAGCAATGTTGGAGGAAATGGAAAGTCACTCTCTAGTGCATTCCACCAACATGAATTCCTATTTTCAAACTCACAGGTGACAGACACCCAAGTGATTGTGGCAGTGAACATTTAGTTAAAAGGGTCTGCGGGGGCCGGAGTGATAGCACAGCATGAAAGGCGTTTGCCTTATGCGAGGCTGACCCAGGTTCAATCTCTGGCATCCTATATGGGCCCCTGACCACTGCCAGGAGTGATTCCTGAGCAATCAATACTGAGTATTGCCAGCTATGGCCCCCAAACCAAAAAAATAAAATTAAATTAAATTAAAATTAAAATAAAAGGGTCTGCTTATTAATATTTTAATGCATAAAACTAATAAGACACAAAGATAATGTCTTGTGGGCCAGAGAGCGCTCTATGGGCTTGGTGCATGCTTTACATGCACGAGGCCTGGGTTTGACCCTCAGCATCACAGTCTTATGAGAACCATCGGGGAGGTGAACCCTTACCCCAACAAGAAGCCAAGAGTAAGTCCCAAGGACTGCTAGGCATGGCCCTAAAACAAAACAATAAAAGTCCTTTGATAATACTGACGAATCTATAGATGTAAACATATCAATTCCAATTTTAAAAAAAGGTCATTTTTGTTTCCAGACCCGAATGTGTGTCAAGCACTAAAACGAAGATTCCATAGCTCTCTAAAAGAGGGCCAATACTTTCAGATGGGGGGTTAGTTTAAAAGAAATTTAAGGCAATCCAGTAGCTAAGATATTTCCGATAAAAGTCCTGTCTTTCAGAGCATGCTCTATTTCCTTCTCTTCAATCTTCAAGGATACCTAGATATAAGAGAAAAAAAAAACCTTTTCACGGCAAAGTCACAGCACCACAGTTTGCTAGCTCTCAAACTTCTGAGTTCAGCTTTCTCACAAAAGGTCAGTGAATCACACAGCCCTGGGGCCACCAGGGCAGATGCAGCTGTGGCACGGCGTGGTTCAAATCCCAGCATCGCCTAGGGGCCCTAGAGCACATCCAGGTAAGGGTCCTGAGCACATGGGGGCGTGCCCTCCCCCAAAACTACATTTTTAATGGCTTCAACAAATTATCTTTTTTTTTTTGAGAGCCCTCCTGCCTCCCCCCAAAATCACACTGTTGTCCCATCTTCAGAGCTCTAACTTGACTGAACCAACTCCAAACTGCTTACCTAAGCGAGGCCCTGTTATCACCTTTCTTTCTCATGTTCCCGGGGTTCATCTCAGAGATACATGCTCTACCATTGAGCTGCATCCTCCTATACCCCCAAACCCAATAACCTTCATTTCTGCCAAAGGTAAAGCTTCCAAAGCCACAAAGCCAGGTAAAGGGCAATGGTACAAACTAGCAGCTCATTGTACTTTTTTTTTTTCCTTTTTTTGCTTTTAAGGTCATACCCAGCAATACTCCTGGCTCTGTGTTCAGGAATTACTCCTGGTGGTGCTTGGGGGACCGTATGGGATGCCAGGGGTTGAACCTGGGTTGGCTGTGTGTGCTATTGCTCTGGCCCCTCGTCGTACCTTTGAGAAACGTGTCTCCTTGCTTTTCTTTAGTCCTAAAATGCCCCTGGCTTCCAAGAGCTCTGCCAGCGACAGACATTCAGACTGGTCCACAGCCGTCACCTGCTGTTTGCGGCAGACCTTACCATAGGCCTCGTGCAGCTGCAAGAATCAGGAAAACAAATGTCAAAACAAATGTCACTTCAAGGTCCTATCTCTAGGATACTACGGTGGGTAAGGCACTTGCCCTGCACGCAACCAACTGGAGTTATATCCTTGACACCATATCCAATCCCCTGAGCTCAGAGCTAGGAGTAAGCCCTGAGCACAGCTGGCTGTGCCCCACCCCCCACCCCCAAGCTCTAGCTCCTTCTAACTTCATAATGGTTAAAAAAAAAAAAAAAGACTTTTTTCAAAACATGACATGAAATAGCCCAATTCTTTTCTGGGGGATATAAAACCTGCAGCCTTTCCTCTGGTCCCAGGATTTACTCCTACTCTTTTTTTTTGTTTGTTTGTTTGCTTTTTGGGTCACAGTGTCTAGCGATGCTCAGGGGCTACTCCTGGCTCTGCACTCAGGAATTACTTCAGGTGGTGCTCAGGGGACCACGTGAGATGCTGGGAATCGAACCCAGGTCGGCCGCGTGCAAGGCAAATGCCCTACCCGCTGTGCTATCGCTCCAGCCCCTTACTCCTACTCTTAGAATCCATTTTTACTCCCGATCCAATAGGTTTTCAGGAGCCTGCTCTGGAAAGCGTCGTCTCTCCACCCCAGCTCCACCTTTGAAGATTCCCAACTAACCTTCCCCAGAGTGACCTCTTGGGTTTTCAACTGCCTGGTGAGGAGCAGCAAAGAGCAGACCAGGATCTTCTGCTGAAGTGGGAAGGAGTCGGGGGTTCCGGCTTGGCTCACACCCATTCTGTTCCCGTCCACTCCCGACATGACTTGGGATATATGGGCGAGACCAACCCGCTTGGGGACGGGTGATTGACAGGGTGACTGACCTGTAAAGCAGACAGACATCTCATTTGATTTTAGAAGTAAAGTAGATACTGAGGCCCACAATACAGGAACATTCATACTAAAATCAATTCAAGTACAACCATGTGACGGGCAAAGCCACAGTTCTCAGCGTAGCTGGAAGCCAAAGGATAAGATGTGGTGCTGTCCGCAAAAGATGCCAACAGCATGTGGGATGAAAGAAGGATTATCCTCTTTCTGGGCAGATTGGCAAGCTTATTTTGTCCTAGACGATGCAATTTCTGTTCCTCTTTCTCTCCTTCCCTCTCCCTATTTTTCCTTTTTTATGCTTTTTGGGTTACACTCAGCGATGCGCAGGGGTTACTCCTGGCACTGCACTCAGGAATCACTCCTGGCGGTGCTCGGGAAACCATATGAGATGCCGGGAATTGAACCCAGGTCGGCTGCGTGCCAAGCAAACGCCCTACCCCTTGTACTATCGCTCCAGCCCCCATTTCCTCTCCCTTTCTTTCTTCTCTCTTTCTGTTTTTGGGCCATATGCAGTGGTGCTCAGAGATTACTGCTGGTTCTGTGCTCTAGTATCACTCCCGGTAATGCTCTAGGGACTATGTGGTGTCAGGAACCGAACTGGGGGTTGGCCCCTTGCAAGGCAAGTGCAGTAATTTTTTCTCTCTCTCTCTCTCTGACCCTTTCCCTTTACTTCATGGCCTTCCCAGTGACATTCCAGGACCCAGGGCAGCCACTCCCGGCAAAACCTGGCCCAGCTGTCCAGGCCTGATGATTCGGGTGCTACTCAGACTCCAGCAGTGCTTGAGGGGTCGCCAGGGCCACAACCAGGGGTGCTCAGGGAGGTCCTGCCTTCAAGAGCAGATCAGAACCTGATCATCAAGGGAAAGAGGTGTTGGCCTTGGGCCGGAGTGCTAGTGCAATGAGGATGGCCTCATCTTGCACACAGCTATCCAGGGTTCCATCCCTGGTATCCTATACGGTTCCCTGAGCCCCACCAGGAGTGCCCTCTGAGCTCAGAGCCAGAAGCTCAAGTACCACTGGATGTGACCCTAAAAAAAAAAAAAGCCAACAAGGGGCCAGAAGATAGCACAGCAGGTAAAGCGCTTGCCTTGCACACCCAGATTCAATTCCCAGCAGCCTGTATGTCCCTGGAACACCTCCAGAAATGACTCCCAAGTCCAGAGTCAGGTGACCCCTGGGTATCACCAGGTCTGGCCCCAAAACTGGGGAGAAAAAAAAAAAGAGTTGGCCAGATCACCTAATATTTGGTATCAAACAAGTGGCTAAACGTGGACAGCAAAGGGCATCCTACAGAAGTGCTCCCGGGAGCCGCCCCACATGACCTCTGGGCGAGCCGATCCCCAGAGGAGTAACACTCGAGACAGCGGCACTGGATAGCAGGGCAGATAGCACCGTCTCAGAGGCCGGACAGTGGGGTTCTGCCAACGGTGGCTGGGACTGTGGCCTCATTGTTCGGGAAGCCGTCTGAATCGTGAGACAGGAGGCCTTCGCTCTGTAGCAATCTTGGCCTCCTAGTTCCTTCCTGGGACCCTGTGCTGTGGCCCTAAAACAATTTGTTTCTCTCTCATTACCAGTAGAGAACCCTGGCAGCTGATTGAAACTGGAAACCAAGTAACAAAATCCCAACAGATGAAAGGCTGGCAGAGGTCTCCTTCTGCTCCCTCTGCAGAGGCGGGGTCCTTTCAAACAATCCAAGGAAGCCTTCATGGGACGAGCTTTTGTTAGAATCTTTTCTTTCTTTTTTTTTTTCTTTCTTTTTGGGTCACACCCAGCAATGCACAAGGGTTACTCCTGGCTCATGCACTCAGGAATTACTCCTGGCAGTGCTCGGGGGACCACTATATTGGGAATTGAACCCGGGTCAGCCGCATGCAAGGTAAACGCCCTGCCTGCTGTGCTATTGCTCCAGCCCCTGTTGGAATCTTTTCAACGCTGGTGCTGTTTCCTGAGGCTGGGGAGATACTAAAGTGCGGGGAACCTGGGTTCAATCCCGGGCATGGCATATAGATCCCTGAGCACCGGTAGGAATGACATCAAACCAGAGGGGGGAAAAAAGTGTTTCTTGGGCAAGCGAGAGAGTGCAACAGTAAAGGTACTTGTCTTCTAGGCAGCTGACCCTGGTACCATCATAAGTGACCCCCCCACCAACGTAGAAACAGAAGCAATGCCCTCAGCACTACCAGGTGAAGCTCTCCCAAAACAAACATGCTACCAAACATGTGTGCTCTTTGACTCTTGTATCTGGTCCAAGTCTGGCTCCTTTCATTTAATTATTTTTAAAATGTTTTGGCTTCTTGGGTCACACTCAGCATTGCTCAGGGGTTACTCCCGGCTCTGCGCTCAGGGATCACCCCTGGTGGTGCTTGGGAGGACCATACGGGATGCTGAGAATTGAAGCAAGGTTGGCTACATGCAAGAGAAAGAAACTCTGGCCTTGGGCCAGAGTGCTAATGCAGCAGGGACAGCCTCGCCTTGCACACAGCATCCCAGGTTCCATCCCTGGCATGGAATACACTGGCATCCCTACCCACTGTACTATTGCTCTGGCCCCCATGTGGTGTGCAGCTGGCCTATACAGGTTCAGAGTCTGTGACCTTGGCATTATTAGCACCACACTTTAAGCAACTGAGCTAACTGGCCACCTGGTGAATGAGCTTTAAAGTCAATCCCAGTGGGATTGAGTCACGGCATAGCAGGAAGGGCGCATGCCTTGCAAGCGACCGACCCAGGATCGATCTCCAGCATCTCATAGAGTGCTCCAAGCCTGCCAGGAGTGATTCCTGAGTGCAGAGCCAAGAATATTCCCTGAGTATATTTCCAGGTGTGGCCCCGAAACAAAACAAGAGCACCTTGGAGTCAGAGAGATAGTACAGCAGGTTGAGCACTTGCCTTGTATGTGGCCAATCTGGGTTGATCCCCAGCATTCCATATGGTCCCCCAAGCACTGCCAGGAGTGGTCCCTGAGTGAAGAGCCAGGAGGAGTAACCCTGGGCACTGCCGGATGTGGCCCCATATCCCTATCCCTTGCCCCAAAAGTCAACTGCACATATACAAGAATCCAAAGACAGCAATCAGGTTAGCTGAATAGTGGTTCTGATAACAGCAAGGCATATGCTGACCCTTTCATTGAATAGATTTTGCCAGGAACTTAGTGTTGTGTATGCACACTGGTGGTGTTAACAGGGGCTACTGACAAGTGTAAATGTTATAAAGGAAAGAATAGCCCGAGAGCTGGAGAAATAGGGCAGGGAACAGAGCCTGCCCGGCATGTAGTTTACACAGGTATAATCCCCAGCACCCCATAAGGCCCCCTAGTCTCTCTGGGAGTGGTCCCTGAGTACCTCCGGGTGTGGCCCAAAAAGCCAAAACCAAAATTGACCAACCAAAACCAAACCAAAAAAAAAAAAAACAAGAGACAGCATGTGGTGAACCTGGGTTTGAACCCCGGCACAGATATGGATCCCTGAGCACCGTCAGAAATGACACCTGACGGCGTTTTTGTTGTTTACTTTTTTCTTGGCTTTTTGGGTCACACCCGGCAATGCTCAGGGGTTACTCATGGCTCTGCACTCAGGAATGACTCCTGGCAGTGCTCAGGGGACCATATGGGATGCTGGGGACCAAACCCAGGTTAGCTGCATGCAAGGCAAACGCCCTACCCTATGCTATCACTCTGGCCCCACGTTTTTTGTTTTTCAGAGTAGGCCAGAACCTGAGTAGTTGCTGAGGGGTCCTTGCGTGGTTTGCACGTCAACACACATTACCTCCTATCAGCCCAAGCACTCGGCTACCTTTGTGATATTTTTATTACTTTTCCTTCAGCAGTTTGATGAGAAAAAGCATTTTCTGCAGAACTCTTTGAATGAACTCCCCACCGGTATAGGAATGATGGAAGAAACGAATCAGACTGTCCTACTTTTACACCAATACTGGTTATTCAGGGCCCAGAGAAATGGCACAGGAGATAAAGCACCTGACTTGCATGCAGCCGGTTCTGTCTGCGCTACCCTCAGTGTGGGCCGGGGTAGGGCCCTCACCTTGTACACAGCGTCCCATAGGGTCTTTCTAGCATCAGCAGAGGTGATCCTGAGCACAGAACCAGCCAGGAGTTACCCTTAAGCAACGCCCCAGAACAAAAACAAATGACCCAACTGAGCAGAATTGGGAGTAGTGCCTGTTGCTCTGCCAGTATGGGCAACCCCCCCCCAACCAAACACGCAAATAAAAACCCACTGGTTACTTAGTACAGACAAGATAGGTAGTTCATGGCCATTTTATATCTAACAAGAAACAAAGCTGAGAGAAAGGAAAACTAATTTTGTCATTTTAATAATACAGTGTACTGGAAGTAATCTGCCCTCCTCTCTCTGCTTAAAAGCTTGAAATAGCCTAATCTGAACTCAAATCTTTCAGCTGGATTCTGTCTAGATTTCTTGGACCACACCCAGTAATGCTCATGGCTAACTCCTGGCTCTAAGCCCAGGGGACCGTAGCGGGTGTCAGATAGGACCTTGGTCAGCTGTGTGTAAGGGTCCCGTGCTGTATGATCACTCTGGCCCTTCTCTGTTTTGGAGCCATACCTCATACCTCATGGTGCTTGGGGCCACTCCTAGTTCCATGCTCAGAAGTTGCTCCCAGAAGTACTCGGGGTTTTTGTGGTGATAGGGCTTAAGTCAGATCCCAGGGATCCCTAATGTAGAGCAGGGATCACTTCTGGCAGGGCTCAGGGGACTAGACAGGGTGCTAGAGATTGAACCTGGGTCAGCCACATGCAAGGCCAAGTGCCCTACCTGCTGTACACAATTTCTCAGTCCCGTGTGGACTGAGAAGTTGTTAATGGATTTAACAATGTTCATTTCATTTCCTCTTTCTACCTCTTTCCCCAGAAAAAAAAAATCAAGCTTCCAATTTAGAAAGGCACACAGGAAGGAGATAAACTACTTACGTTCCGACAGTGGTTTAAGAAGAGTCTGGCTTTTGACATCCGACTCTACAATTTCAATAGCTCTCCTAGAAGAGAATATTTCTACAATGAATGAAGGCTGAGCCAAATCAAACACGCCAAACCACCAAGCTCAAAAACAGGCATGGTAACGAAACGAAACAGCAACAACAAAAAGGCAGACCTTATCATTTTAAAACCCCTCAAACCAAACTGGGTTATGTCTCAGCTAAAGAGGACTTAATGGCCGTGGAATAATTCATGAACCAAAGACTCTGAGAAACTTAACTACATGCTTCCTTTCCCCTTGGAGATGCCAAGTGGGTCATCATACATGAGCCAATGCTAACATCTCGGCTGAGGGAAAAACGTCACGGAGAGGAGAGGGGTTCTGTAGGATGACCCAAGTGAGCTGGTCGCATCCGCACACACCAGCCAGCGTAATGATGCTCATGGCGGGAGTGTTTACCCGAGAAGTTTGCTGAGTAGGGGAAACTTTCACACCCAGGATTATGTCAGCTAGCAACAAGAAGAGCTTCCTCTCCCACGGCTTGCTCCAAAGTACTTTGCCCACAGGAAGCCATAAGCCCGACCTGGGTCTTCTGCATGGCAGTAGGGGAGGTGGGACCAGCGGGCCAGCACAGCAAGCCTCATTTTAATGGACCCAGTGGCCCTACTGGGAAGGCAGAAATTTCATCAGTCAGCACAAGGCTTACCCCAGCAGGAGGGGCAGGGGAAGGGAAGGGAGAGAGGTCTGGAGTACAACTGTGGGGGACCACCAACTGGTGGAAGGGGTGCTCACAAAAGCAAAGGAAGGAGGGAAAAAAAGTCTAAAGGCAAAGACGGTTCAGGTCCATAAATAAACCTGCTTGAGACCAGCTAATGGAAAAGTAAACTGGAGTCTTTTTTAATACAAATGTAATTAACCAATCTATAATCACCACGGGGAGTGCTAGCAACATCTCATTTGTTTCTCCCTCTGTAGGTAATGGACTGATAATGTTTCAGACATTAACACGTGGAAATGCAGAGCTCCCTGCTGAGAAACAAGTCCTCCTTTCTGGGCAGAAAAAAGTGGCGGAATGGAGCCTCTTAAGCCACATTCACATAAGTTACGCGAGACAATTAACAGCATTTCTCTCCTTTAATACAAGCAGCCAACAGTGCCATAACTCACCTGCAAACATCGAGTGCTTTGCGAACATCGCCCGAAACGGCAGAGACTTTTCGGGCACAGAACTGAATCGCAGCATCGTCCAGAACCTGGTCGCGGGATGCCTTTGGACAAGACGAAATACCCAACAGTTGGACACTTTTTCCTGTCATTTACGTCCCAGACATAAAGAATTCCATGCTTAAGCCCCAATTCCATTGGTCGCCACCAATGAGAGTCTGAGCTACCTCCTCAGCTCATGTGCAGATGGAAATTTTCTTTTTTTTCTTTTTTTCTTTTTTGGGGGGGGGTCACACCCAGCAATGCTCAGAGGTTACTCCTGGCTTTGCACTCAGCAATTACTCCTGGCGGTCTTCAGAGGACCAACTCCTGGTCAAACCCAGGTTGGCCAAATGCAAGTCAAATGTCCTTCCTGCTGTACTATTGCTCTGGCTCCAAATTTCACACGTTTAAGCAAGCTGTAGGAATGTGGTAGAGGGAGCTGGAGCAACAGTACAGTGGGTAGGGAATTTGTCTTGCATGCAGCTGACCTGGGTTCAATCCCTGCCATCCCATATGGTCCCCCGAGCACTGCCAGGAGTCATTCCTGAGTGCAGAAGCCAGGAGGAACTTCTGAGTATTGCCGGGTGTGACCCCCAAACAGCAAAATAATTAAGAAAAAAAAAAAGAAAAGAAATGTGGCCAATTGATGAATGGAAAAGTACCATTAGTGGGTCAGGCACTTTAGGAATTAAGATACTTGCTCTGCATATAGGCAGTCCTGGTTCAATCCCAGTTAAGCATATGCACCCCCAAGCCCCTGGGCGTAAACCCTGAACACTGCTGAGTGTGGCCCAAATCAAACATACCATTAGAATGTAAACTAGGAAAACTAAGATAAAAGTCTACTTGATCGTTAACACACACACACACACACACACACACACACACACACACACACCACACCATAAGTCCTATTTCAATTTATTTTTAATTCTTATTATTTTGAAAGGGTGCCCACAGCTGGCAGAGCTCAGGGCTTACTCCTGGCTCAGGGTTCAATCCTGGCAGTGTTGGGGGTAGAATCTGTGTTGGCCCTGTGCCAGGTAAGTGCCTCATCCTTGTACTGTCTCTTTGGTCCTGGGTCTTTCTCTCACCCTGCCAGGTCTTTTTACAATTTCCCCCATACTCTCTCTCTACTTTTGGGCATCATGGTTTGCAATATAGACACTGAGAGGCTATCACGTTTGGCCCTTTATCTACTTTCAGCACCTTTCAGCACACATCTCCCAACCTGAATGATACCTCCAACCATCATTATCTTAGTGATCTCTTCTCTATTCCAGCTGCCTTCTCCCCCAGATCATAATGCAGGCTTCCAACTATGGAGCAATATTCCTCCCGCCAGATCTCCTTTTTTTTTCTTTTTTGCTTTTTGTGTCAAACCCAGCGATGCACAAGGGTTACTCCTGGCTCTGCACTCAGAAATTACTCCTGGTGGTGCTTGGGGGACCATCGGGGATGCCAAGGATCAAAAAACCCAGGTCGGCTGCATGCAAGGCAAACACACTACCCACTGTACTATTACTCTGGCCCCCACCAGGTCTTTTTAAAAAATTAATTATTTTTTGTTTTGGGACCATACCCGGTGGTGCTCAAGGATGACTTCAGGTGGCTCAGGGTGCTGGGGATCAAACCTGGGACAGCTGTGGGCAAGGCAAGTGCCCTACCCCTGTATTATCCAGCTCCCAGGTCCTAAATGCCATTAAGGAAGCACCTGACTCTATTATTTCAACAGAGAAGCGTCCAATAGATGAAGTCATGGGTGAGAACTCATGTAAAAATGTTCTCTTTATGGGGGCTGGAGTGATAGTACAGAAGGTAGGGTGCTTGCCTTGCACCAGCCAACTCGGGTTCAAACCTTGGCATCCCATATTGTCCCTGAACACTGCCAGGAGTCACCCCTGACCATCACCACATGTGGCCCCCAAACCAAGCGGAGAAAAAAAGGGAAGCTACGGAGCTGTGGCTGAGAGACCAAGATCAAGCTTCGCATGTGTAATATCTTGGTTTCCATAAAACAAACAAAGAATAAAACTATTATTGGGAGCCGGAGCAATAGTACAGTGGGGAGTGAGTTTGCCTCGCACTCGGCTGACCTGGGTTCAATCTCTGGCATCCCATATGGTCCCCCAAGCACCGCCAGGAGTAATTCCTGAGTGCAGAGCCAGAAGTAACCCCTGAGCATCACTGAGTGTGATCCCAAAAGGAAAAAAAAAAACTATAGTTGGAGTTCCCAACACAACTGAGCCAAGAACTCACAATGCTACCATAGTGGGCACTCACCTGAGTTAGACGATCCTGCAATATAGTGGCGATCTGATTTTTGGTATATGGTGGGAAGTTCAGTAGTTGTGGTTTGCATTTTTCTCTAGCTTGAAGCCTTGGCAGAATTCTGTCTGTGAGATCCAGAGTATTAGCTATTCCTGAGGAGAAAATCAGTGACACTCATTATCATTGGCCAGGTCATCATAAAAGCAAGACCAACTCCTTGAGAAGAGAAGAAATAGAGGATTGTGTCATTTCCGTACCGCCATAACACAATTAATTTGCTCTACATTAAGATTACTGCTATTTCGGTGCCAGAGAGGTAGAATAGTAGGTGAGGTGCATGTGGCTGACCCTGGTTCCATCCCTGAGCCCAGAGGCAAGAGTCAGCCCCAAGTACAGATGAACGTGGCCCACAAAACAAGGAATATGGATCGGAGCGATAATAACAGCGGGTAGGGCATTTGCCTTGCACTTGGCCAACCAGGGTTTGATCCCTGGCATCCCACTGGTCCCCCAAGCACTGCCAGGAGTGATTCCTGAGTGTAGAGCCAGGAGTAACCCCTGAGCATTGCTTGTGTAACCCAAAAAGGAAAAAAGAAAAAGGGAAAAAAGAAAAAGAAATAATAGGTAATAAATAAACTGAAGGAATTCAAAAGAGATCGTGGCACCACTGATCAAACGCAGGGCCTTGCCTCATATATGCATGGTAAATGCTCAACACTGAGTTCTATCTCTGGTCTCAAAAAGAAAGTATTTTACAATTCTTTTCTAAGGGCCAGGGATGTGGCTCAAATGGTAGAGCACGTGTCTTGTTTGTTTAAGACCCCGAGTTCAATACCCGGCACCTTATGGCATAACCTTGGTGGTCCTTGACAACACCAGCTTAGAGCACTGTAGGATGTCCCTACCATTTCCAGCCCCCCACAATTATGGTCCCCCCAGCCTTGCCAGGAATCATCCCTGAGTGCAGAGCCATGAATAAGCCCTAAGCACCACCCAGTGTGGCCCCGAAAAAAACAATTATTACATAACAATTAAGCACTAACCGATCAACACCAGTCGAGAATTGCTCAGCCACGGCCATTCAAATATCGTGTACAACACATCCTGCCCTTTGCTGTCCAGCTGATCCATCTCGTCCAGCACCAACACGCTGCACACAGAGACAGTCATTAGTATCCCTGGCACCTTTTCCGCGCCCCAGCTTGTTTGCGCTAGGCTGACTCTAGGTCACATTTTTACAGCTGAGACCAATTTAAAGTTCAGAGTCTGTCCAGCTCCAGTGATTGTTCCAATGCTCCACGCCTCCCCCACCCCTAAACATAAGTAACACATGAGCTTTCCAAGCAATTCATTTGAAGACATATTTTTTTTCTCAATTAAAATCAGAAGGTGCAGCTTGCCTTTCTGCTTAGGTTTCTAGAAACACTTCTCAGATCATAAACACAGCCCATCCATTCAACAGTGGGGAATGGGCGTTCGTGGGGAGCAGACCCTACAGATTTGCAGAGCAACAAGGCAGTAAGAGTCATACTTACATCATGGGGCCCTTCTGGGCCGTCATAGAGCTTTCTAGTTTCTTCAGCATGTCCTTCCCAGTTGGCGGGGCTGCTCCTTCCGGACAGATCTCCTGAGCAATGGCTGGGAACACAGCGTGGGCGCTCCTCAGGGACATGCAATTCAGCAGGACTGCTTTAAAGCCTTTCAGCTGCTCCTAGAAAAAAAAAAAAAAAAAACAACCCGCAAGATCGGTATTTAGTTTGGGGTACAAATTCGATGAAAATTGAAGTGCTTGAGAAGTTCACAGCAGAACAGAGAACCAGACCTACTTTTATATGGAAAGATTTATATAACGACATAAGAAGCGCCGAAAACGTCAATCCCCTAAGCATGTTAACTTGAGCCGTTAACAATTAGGTGTCCAGGCACTTGCCTGGCACACGGCCGGCGCAGGTACAATCCCTGGCATATTCCATATGGTCCCCCAAGCATCACCAGGAATGATTCCTGAGTGCAGAACCAGGAATAAGCCCTGAGCATCTCCAGGTGTGCCCCCAAAACAAAATAAACAAAAAACCAAACGAGAGTTATTTGAACAAGCACACTAGAATTCACTCATGTACCTTGAGGTCTTGCAAAATTCGGTTTAAACAAGCCGTTTTTCCAGTTCCAGGAGCACCAGAAAGATAAAGACTTCCAGCTTTCCTTCCACAGATGTGCTCCCTCAGGAAATTCCTGATGACATCCATCTCCTTTTCTCTAGCCGGCAGCCGATCCGGGACAGCTGTATTCAGGACCAACTTGGCTTGTTGATAGCAAGTGCCTGAGCCAGACATGAAAACACAGTCAGACGCGAAAGAAGTAACTGAGACAGGCTGAGTTTCTTCCGGGGTCAGCAGCCCTGTTTCCAAGGCTGTACTATCAGCCACCAAGTTAACTCACCTGCTTGCCGGAATAGTCTCAAACACGCAGATTCTGTTTTGGTAATCTCTTGATCTTTTTGAACAGAGGAACAGGTTTTGTCTGGGCTAAGCCTGGTTTGGTCGGTTTTGCTAGGCGACTTCACTGTTTGCTGATTGTCAAATACCAATCTGCGTCCTTTAGGGGTTCGTGAGCGAGGAGGACCATTTTCTTTCTTGCCTTGCTTTGGTGGAGAGCAGAGAGGCAAGTGTGGAGTGTTGCACAGGTTGTCATCACCTGAAACATCACAAACCAAAATGTGGCCGTCAAGCATAGTGGACAGTGAAAGAACTCACAAAGATCCCTGCTTCCTTGAGAAGCTGGTGGGACACTTCTTTCTTTTGGTTTTGGGGCTACACCCAGCGATGCTCAGCGGTTACTCCTGGCTCTGTCATCAGGGATCACTTCTGATGGTGCTCAAGGGACCATACGGGATGCCGGAGATAGAATCTCAATTGGCCGCATGCAGGGCAAACGTGTAACTAACTGCTGGTCTATCCCTCAGGCCCTTGGCGGTGCTTTCTACCGCTGCCAGGAAATAGAAACACAAACTGGCCAGCAGATGGCAACAGTGAGCCTCACTAGCTCCTTAGTACAGACCAAAGGTGTTTCAGTGAGATGAAATCTTAAAATTGATCTAAAACAAGAGTTTTTCAACCATAGCTCCTCTGGTATCTTGGACCAGAAGTTCTTCCCTGTGGGCACTGCCTCTTGCATCATGCACAAAGACCACCTCCGGTTTTATCTGCTCTCCCAGCAGGGCAGCTACAAACGTGTTCAGAGACCACCAAAACACCCACCATTAAAACAAATGCTCTGAAGCAAGGACAGATTAGCAAACACTGTTTGAAAACAAGAATGCCGTTTCTCTTAATTTTACCACAATTGAGGCGAGTTTCAAAACTCTATATAACTGCAATGACAGAAATCTACATTCAGTAGTCAGGAATTGCAGTTCAGATATAGTAATTCCTAGTTCAGAACAGTGACCTCAGCACGGGTTACACTGAAGCTTTTTAAATCTTCTTGAAAATAAACAAAATGAACAGTAGTTTTAACTGAAATTAGAAAACAGCTCAAAGCACTGGGCGTCTCATCCAGGAAAGAGGGATCAATGACCAAAAAACAAACAAACAAACAAAAAAGTTGTACTTAGATCATTGATAGCTTACCCAGCCGTTTTCTGGGGCTGAGAGGTAGAATTTTTTCACAAGGAGAACGGGGTGCAGCCTGGATATTTGTCAGTTCTCGTTTGGCATCATTAGAGATTTTAGCTTTGTCCAATGTCTGAGATAGTTTCTTTTTTGGAAAAGTGATCGTTGCCTGTGACTGGGATCTGGTCCGAGGCATGCTAGCAGCACAACTGGGTAAAAATGAAACAAATAAAAGAAACCAGATAGTTACTAGGTGAAAAGGAAGACAAAAAAAAAATGGAATTTAGACTGATAAGCAACACTCATAAGTAAATTACTACAAGAAATATTTGGCATCATCTGCTCACATCCATATTACAGCCATATCCAATTCTGTCTGCTTACTTCCTCTATGTAAGACGCTGTGACAGCATATTAAGAACTGACTTTTAAAGTTTCCCAGCCATGTTAGAGGTAGGTGTTAGAGGTAGTTACAGAAAAGAAAAAGAAAACGGAGTGATATAGGGACCTCAAGTCACCCCAGAGCAGGGGTACAATTCCAAACATTCTGGCTCCATAGTCCGAATTCTTTGTTTTTTGTTATTTTGGACTTTTAGGCCATACCCGGGGATGATGATAGCTCTGAGCTCAGGGATCACTCCTAGCTATGCTCGGGAGTACCATATGTGGCGCTAGAAATCAAACCCTGGTTCGCCTGTGCAAGGCAAGTACTTAACCCCCGCGTCCAGCCCCACACTCCGAGTTCTCAACCCCTTAAGTGACGCGGCAAGTTTATCTTTGATTTCTGTAATACTTCGAAGTCCCTCACTGCACTCATGGTGTTCAGCTTCAACACCATCTGGCACCAACACCGTCCCGCGTTTCCAGCCCTCCAAGGCCCTGCTCTCGGCGCCCACAACTGCAAACCCACACCCGAACATCTGCCTCTAGCAATTCAGCAACTTCGCCCCATGCCCAAAGGCCAGACTGGCCCTGAGGCGCACCTATTGCACCCGTGGCCCGGATCTCCTCGGTCCGCAGATCTCATCTCCCTTCCCTCCTCCTCCGGCGCCACCGGGACCCACTGCCCCTCACCCTCGTCTGCGGCCACCCCAGACCTCAAGCCTCCTGGAGCAATCCTCTTACAACTCACGAGGCGCGTCACTTCAATGCTCGGGTCTCTTGCACTTCTCCAGACAAGTCCCTGTGCCCACTGAGCCGCAGCAGAAGTAGAAGTAGAAGTAGCAGCAGCAGCAGCAGCAGCAGCAGAAGCAGCAGGCAGCAGCGAAACCCCAGACGGCTCGCGCCAAATTCGCACAGCTCCGGTTTCCCGCCTCCCGCCTAAGTCCGGCCCGGGCTCTCATTGGCTGTCAATAGAGCGCCGCTCGCCACAGGGCCCCGCCCCTTCCCTCGCGCCCAATCCAGTTGGAAGGACAGCAACCAATAGGAGAGCCCCGAGTCTCAGCGCCGCCGGAACGCCACGCCCACTTAACCGGGGCTGGCTCCAGCATCCGGGGCCTTCGCGGAGAGCCGCGCGGTAGTGGCCATTCGGGGTCACGCATGCGAGCCGGCTAGGCCGCAAAGCTCGGCGGGAAATGTAGTCTTTGCTGAACGCGGCCGGGAGTTTACGCGCGCTTTTTCGGAAGGGAGGTGTACAGTTGTGATCGCTCCTTTGGGCGGCCGTTTGTCTATTTTCATTATGCTCATAGGCCAGATTAACAGAGATGCTACTATAGCACCTACCATTCATTGGGCAGTTTTGGGTGCCAGGCATGATGCTATAAACTTCTCTAATGCTCACCCCTATAAGGCATGAAACAGACAGAATCCGAATTAGAGAGCACAGCACATTGTCACTGTCACTGTCCTCCCGTTGTTCATCGATTTTCTCGAGCGGGCCCAGTAACGTCTCCGTTGTTACTGTGTTTGGCATATCGAATACGTCGCGGGGAGATTGCCAGGCACATTAGTGGTAGAGAATACACCCAGAGGTGCTGGATAACTGGCTCTGTGTTGGGGTATTGCTCCCAGACGTGCTGTAAGGACCATGCGGTGTGGGGGATTTAACACTGGCCTCCCGCATGCAAAGCACAAAGCATGTGCTTGGCCCTTTAAGACAGCTCTCTATCCACCCACCCTGTTTTTGGTGTAGTTCTATTACCCCTCAAATATGCGCATATATAAAATAAAGGCCCTCCCGCTGTTCATCGATTTGCTCAAGTGGGCCCAGTAACGTCTCCATTGGAGATTTTGTTGTTACCAGGCTCTGCCGTGCGGGCCTCGGTAGCTTGCCGGGCTCTCCCAGAGGGGTGGAGGAATCGAACTCGGGTCGGCCATAGTTGGCTGCGTGCAAGGCAAACGCCCTACCGCTGTGCTATTGCTCCAGCCCATGCACGCATATATATATATATATATATATATATATATATATATTTTTTTTTTTTTGTAGTGGGCTCAACAACTTCCCTAGAGAAACTGATCCATATAAATATATACAACACACCACTCCTTACCATAGCATCTTCTTGATTAACTTTTTTTTTTTTTTTGCTTTTTGGGTCACACCCAGCGATGCTCAGGGGTTACTCCTGGCTCATGCACTCAGGAATTACTCCTGGCGGTGCTCGGGGGACCATATGGGATGCCGGGAATCAAACGTGGATCGGCCATGTTGGCTGCGTGTAAGGCAAACGCCCTACCCGCTGTGCTATTGCTCCAGCCCCTTGATTAACCTTTAAAGGGGAATAAGAAGGGTTAGGTCTGGGCCCAGAGCTATAGTATAGTGAGCAGGCCACTTGCCCCCCACATCCCATATGGTCCCCCAAGCGCCGCCAGGAGTAATTCCTGAGCGAAGAGTCAGGACTGAGTATCACTGGGTGTGACAACCCCGCCCCCCAAAAAAAAGGAAAAAAAAGGGTTAGGTCCTTGCTTTTATTTATCTATCATTGTCACTGTATCGCTGTCCTCTCGTTGTTCATCGATTTGATCGAGAGGACCCAGTAACATCTCCATCATGAGACTTGTTACTGTTTGGCGTATGGAAAACGTCACAGAGGAGCTTGCCAGGCTTTGCCATGCTGGTGTGATACTCTCGGAAGCTTGCCGGGCTCTCCAGAGGGTTGGAAGAATTGAACTCGGGTCGGCCATAATACTACATTCTGTGAAGCTTCTCAACATTAATCCTGTTAATCCATATATTTAAGATTGGAGAGAGGGCTGGAGCACAGAGGGTAGGGTGTTCGCCTTGCATGCGACTGAACCAGTTTTGAGCCCTGACATCCCATCTGGTCCCCCAAGCACCGACAAGAGTAATTCCTGAGCACAGAGCCAGGAGTAACCCCTGAACATCGCTGGGCATGACCTAAAAAGATCTGGACCTTCAACAACAACAAAAAAGTGAAGAGAATTATGGTCTCTTATTCTGAAAATTTTTTTCATATGGAGGTAAGCTGAGCATTCAACAAAAAATATAATTTAGAGCAGTCATCTAGAGGTCAGCTTCCAAAGCTAATAATTTAGCTAACTCTCAGGCTCCATAGAAAGCCAGTATCCAATTCTATGTGATGGTAATATCTTTTATTAATATAATAATAGAGGAGCTGGAGCAATAACACAGCGGGTAGGGTGTTTGCCTTGCACGCAGCCAACCCAGGTTCGATTCCCAGCATCCCATATGGTCCCCTGAGCACCGCCAGGAGTAACTCCTGAGTGCAGAGCCAGGAGTAACCCCTGTGCATCGCAGGGTGTGACTCAAAAAAGCAAAATAAAATAAAATATAATAAAATAAAAATAGAGCAATAAAGCTAAGGAATAGAACAGCATTACAGTCATCAGTTCATAGATCAGGGCCAAAACTGTTTTTTGGGTTTTTTTTTGCTTTTTGGGTCACACCCAGCGATGCACAGGGGCTACTCCTGGCTCTGCACTCAGGAATTACCCCTGGCGGTGCTCAGGGGACCATATGGGATGCTGGGAATCAAACCTGGTTGGCCGCGTGCAAGGCAAATGCCCTACCTGCTGTGCTATTGCTCCAGTCCCAACACTTAGTTTTAATTTAGGGCAACAGGAACAGTACAGTTGCCTTGGCCACAGCTGACCTGGGCTCAGTCTCTAGCACCCCAGCTGGTCCCCCAAACAGTGCCAGGAGTAATCCCTGAGCAGAGAGGTATGGTCCAAAAAACAAGAGTATGCCAGCGACTGAGCTCAAATGTTTTACCTCTATTATTTTATCTCACAGTTACCTCTTTATGAATGAGGAAACTGAAGATGAAGTGGCAAAATAAATTTGCCCAAGATTACAGAACTAGAAAGTGAAAATACTAAAGTTTGAAAATAGGCCAAACTCCACCACTTAGACCTAGGGGAAGGATGACCAGATTTAAGTTCTGAAGTGGCCTTCTAAAGGAGGGAGAGATAGGGACCAAAGTTGATAGCATAGTGGGTAGGGCATTTGCCTTGCCTGCAGGCTGGCCCGGGTTCAATCCCTAGCACCCCATATGGTCTGTTGAGCCCTGCCAGAAGTGACCCCTGAGTGCTAAGTCTGGTGTAAGCCCTGAGCACTGCTGGGTATGGCTCAAAATCAATTAAATAAATTTAAAAAAAGAAGTGAGGGGATAATAGTCATGGGCTTTGCAGGAGTAAAAATCAGCAAGAGTGGAGGCAAGAGAGATAGTAAAACAGGTACTACAGGGGGCTGGAGTGATAGCACAGCGGGTAGGGCATTTGCCTTGCATGAAGCCGACCCAGGTTCAATTCCCAGCTTCCCATACGGTCCCCCGAGGTCCGCCAGGAGTAATTCTTGAGTGCAGAGTTAGGAAAACAAACAAACAAACAAAAACCAGATACTATATGTGGCTTGCCTTGCCCGTGGCTAATCTGGGTTCAATCCCCAGAGTACCCACTTTAGTCTCCTGAGCCCTGTCAGAAGCACAGAGCCAGGAGTGAACCTGAGAACCACTGGGGATGGCCCAAAAAACAATCGAAGATGGATGGTTATAGAATGGAGGCTTTTTGAACAGATGGTATTTTTGATATCTCACTATGGCAATAAAATAGGAAACAATCTTCACCATTCCGATCCATTTCCGTAATACACCTGTTAATAATCTTTTTTTTTGGGGGGGGGGGGTCACACCCAGCGATGCACAGGTCCTGACTCTGCACTCAGGAATTACTCCTGGTGGTGCTAGGGGGGCCAGATGCTGGGAATCGAACCTGGGTTGGCCGCGTGCAAGGGTTGGCCACATGCAAGATAAATACCATACCCGCTGTGCTATTGCTCCAGCCCGTTAATAATCTTAAATGGTATTATGCAGCCCACCAGCCTTAAGGAATACACTACCTATCAGTTACAGGAGTAACAGAAGGCAGAAGTACACAATGTGCACTTTGGGACTTAAGAAAATACTCACCAGGGGGCTGGAGTGATAGCACAGCAGGTAGGGCGTTTGCCTTGCACACGGCCGACCCGGGTTCGATTCCCAGCATCCCACATAGCTCCCTGAGCACCGCCAGGAGTCATTCCTGAGTGCTGAACCAGGAGTAACCCTTGTGCATCGCTGGGTGTGACCCAGAAAGAAAAAAAAAAAAAACCAAGAAAATACCAGGAAATACAGTACTGGTCCAAGAAAATCTGAAAGTGAGAGAGACCATGGTAGAGGCAGAGAATTGAAAGGTTTTTTGTTTTGGGGCCACACCCGGCAGTGTTTAGGGCTTACTCTAAGGGTCATGGGCCACTCCTGCAGACCTTGGGGAACATACGGGTACCAGAGATCAAATTTGGTCTGTCGCATGCTAGGCAAGCATCCTATTCATTGAACTGTCACTCAGACCCCTGAGAACTCAGAGGTTTCTGAGATACGTACCAGACATTTCCCTTTACCAACTGTCCACCACAAAATGCGAACTGCCATTCTGCTTGGACCGCCAGAGCCTTTCCCCCTCTGGAGTGTGGAATGCTGCTCATCATCCACTTTCCCTGGCAATTACCGTAAAACCTTCTCATCTGCTGCACTGCTGATTTCTCCTGGGAGATGTCCAAAAGTCTGTGCCAGTGCAAGTCCATTGATTTTCAGATTATAGGTGTCTAGCACAGAGGAAGGATGCAATAAATGCTTTGAGTCAAGGAAAAGTGCATTAGCACTTTTTGTGTGGTCCGAGAGCATACACAGTCCTTTCATTTTTAACACCCCTCAATCTAAGAGTGCACAACAAACTAGAATTCTATGCAAAGAAACACCGGTCTGGGCGCTGGTATTGTCTGCAGTGCTGCCTTTCACCATAGTTATGTACTGGGTGTGTGTTAGGATCCCGAGGTGGATCTTCAGTCCTCTGACGTCTCAGCTTAGCAGGAAGTCACCAATGGGCAGCTGCCTTGCAGGGAGTTGCAGTCAGGCTGGGCAGGGCCAGGAAACACGAAGAGTCACATTCCCAGTAAGCAACCATGTCTCGGTAATGACTGGAGAGGGCAAACTGATGTCCTAATCGCCCGCTGGAATACACACAGCACCAATGGGGCTGGGCCTGCCCAGCCCATACAGAGATTAGCAAAACCGCCCCCATAGGACTAGCAAGGCCGCTTCCTGTTGGAGCAGACAGGGTCAGGGAGGTGAGGCTGATCTACGCAATCTCCATTGGAGGAGCTTTAAAGTCACAGGAGGAACAAATCAATAAATAGGTAGTTTATTAATCATAGTAATAACAATGGACAAATAATCAGAAACTTAGCCAATCTGGCAAGTCTGGATGAAAATGGAAGGAGGGCTTGCCCCCCAAATCCTAGATGGGTTTTTCTATCTCTAATATGTGAATGATTCATATACACACCCTTGATGAATCAGAATGGGAAACAATCCCGACCTTTGCAAGTGATGAAAGTGCAAGTTAAACTCATTAAGTCCTAGTGGTGAATAATGTCGGCTGACCACAGTACGCAGAGACTGTCTGGATTAGTTTTTGCACCTAAAGTCAGAGTCTGAGAAAGCCAGCTTAGATTCCAATCTAAAGAGGAATGAGGAAACCAGCCAATACCCACATGAAAATGCACACTCCTGTGAGTTCTACTCCTCAGTGTGAGAATCTGCCGGGCAAGCAGAGAACAACAACAACAAAAAATCCTAAGGGAGATCAAGGGAAAGGCGTAAGGCCAGAAGGGCATGGGTTCCTGAAACATGGATGAATGGGGCATTAGGTGGCAAACAGGAAGATGACCAATGCTACCAGGATGGCTAACCACCACCGTGACTTTCAAAAATTCCACAAGGGGAGGAGGCCAGAGATGTGCCTGCCCAAAGCAATGTACTTCCCTCACAGAGCGCCTTGCTCAAACCACTCATCAACCCGAGTCTCTGAGTTTTTCCCCTCTGGGTCACCACCTGAGGCAGGATTCCAGACACAAAGTTGTCATTTGTTTTGTTGGTATGTTTGGTTTTAAAACAAGTTTTAATGAAACTGCACAGCATTCAGAAGAATCGTACCAAAGAATCCGACCTGAGACCAGATTATACAATTTCGGGGAAGGGAGGTTAAAGATCAAGGCTAAGTTGGGAGAGGGAGCACTATAATCAAGAGTATAATGTCAAAATAAATCAGACAATAAATTATCTCTTTCAAAGCAATGAATCCACATGCAAAGACGGCCACACACATACACGCACACACGCTACACACGTGTCATTCTAGCTAGTCTTTTATTCAGTGTTGACTATGACGTCCATGCTGGCTGATGTGGAAAAGGAAATACGTCAGATGCGAGAAAAGCAGCCGAGGCCCCTCTGCCACCACTGGAATGAGACTGAAGATAATCAGGGGCCCCACTAAACTGTCAGAAACAAGAGGAAAATTAAGGAAGCAGCAATCATCAAGGAAGATTTTAATTGCTTCAAAGAGGGAAAGAGGAAGCAAGCACAGAAATCTAACACAAGTAAAGGCACAATGAACGTGGAGTTAAATGGAAGCAACCCCTTCTTTCAGCTCAACAATTAGTCTTTTTCGTTTTTTGTCTGTGTTTTAAAGGTGGTCATAGTTTCCTTTTGTTCGCTCTTAAGAGATGACTCCCGAAAGCCGAGTTCTCATGCCGTCCATTCCCTACATTAGGGAGGCTTCCAGAAAGTCCCCCTGACCACATAGTTGGGAGGGAGATTCAACAGGGAGGAAAGACTGTAACTGGAATGTGAAGAATTCGATTTGTAGCTGATCAGAGGTTGGGTTTCCAGGACAGGCAGCCCAGTGTAGGGCCATGCAAGGACCTCGGATGCCCTATACTCCCCCCGCCGAACTTTGCAGACGGACCCTGGAATCACACTTCCCCCACACTCCCATAAGCACTCAGTCTACAAATTATTTCAAGTGATCAGGAGAATTAAAACATACCCCAACCCTGAGTTGCTCTGTAGCAAGTCTATTTACAATTTTTTCTCACCTCTCCCTGGAGGTAAGTCTGGGTTTCAAGTTGGGAAGCCAGGGGGTAAGAGGAAGCCCCCAGGGCAGTGGCCAGGTTCTAGACTCCCAGCCTCTGCCTGCTGGGGGGGGTAGGGCAGAGAGGTGGCATTGGGGATGAATTCCTGGAGACAGCAGCCTTAGACCCACTGGGTGGGGAATCCCTGGGCACTCCGCAGACCCAGGCTCTGCAGCTGGACAGAGAAGGCCACAGCTAGGGTACCCAAGGGCTGGGAACAGGGTCAGTGGCCACAGAGGGAAAAGGGGCATCATGCTCACTGGAAAACCTGGGGCCACAATCCTGCTTCCCAGAGGATGATAAAAAACAACTAGCAAAGTTTTTCCCACGAAGGAAAAAGACATCATAAAACCAAACCCACACAGGGGCTGAAATCTTAACACCGCTTCCTGATGCTTTGCCCGGCACCGTCTCTTCCTTCCGGGAGAGGCTGCAGGGAATTAAGGGGATCGGGCAGTAGCCTCAACATGAGACCGCCCCTTCTTCCATGGGAGAGACAAGGCTCCCACAAGCAGGTCAAAGGTCGCCTTCAAAGGTGAGAAGTTTTGGTGTTCTTGCAGCTCGTCCACCTGAAACCTCCAATATAAGCTTCTTTACAACGTAAAAAATAGATCATTAACCACGAGGATCACATTCCCATTCTTCAATAGTAAATATACATGATCATAAATCTGTCATTAACAGAGGGAGCAAATGATGCATAAGGCAAAGACATTTAGAGGGGTACTACGTCCGCCATGTGCTATAAAGAAGCTCCATCCAACTAGATCTACAACCAGTCCTGTTTGCAGGAGGTCCCAAGAAAATAAAAACACAACCAACCCTGAAGGGGAAACAGTTCAAAGACAGGGTTGATGGCCGGGCGGGGCAGCAGGTCAGAGGGAAGGGAGGGATTGGCCCCACTGAAAAGCTGGGGTTTGGCTTTTACTTGTGATACTTATTTTGATGCTCTATGTTTGAGTAAAGAGAACAAAAACCAACACTTTGATAACATTGTACAAAAGGCATCAACTCCCATTTCAAAAATAAATGGAAGACTTCACAGTCCAAGCTCAGTCCTGGCCAGCAACTCCCCAGGAACTAGCTGCAGAATCGAGTCTGGTCCTCTCTCCTATTCCCTCCATCCAGTTCCTGCCTCAGTCCTGCCACTTGAAGAGGGACCACTGCTGGCAGCGAACTGCCAATAGATCGGGAAGTAGGAATGGGAAAAAAAAAAGACGAAAACATGATTGCAAGTTTGGTGATAGATCAAGTTGTGATTTGTGCCAAGAGTCAATTGGTCCAGGGGGTGGTGCAGGGAAGCAACCCAAGCCGAGCCTTTCTCGGCGTGCAGAGGGAGGCCCTGGGGACCTCGGCCCCTAGCCCCCAACACACCAGTGAAAACTGTGGAGGCCTGTGACACAGTTGGTGAAAGGCTGTGACTGGTTGTCCCGCTCTCTCTCAAGGACCACCACGGCAGCCCTCAGCCCTACCTCCTAGGTCGCACATCTCCAGAATCAGCAGGGCTGCAGCAAACCCAACCCTCCGTGCTGGATCCCGCTAGCCGCACCCAGAGCCAGCTAGACTTAGCACCTCCGAGTTTCCTGTGCTCTTCAGCGAAGGGGCCCCGAAAGACAAAACAATGTATTACTGCGGGCGGCTGGGGCCAAGGGGCCCAGAAATGCTTCACCTACACCTCAGTGCTTCTCAGCCTGGAGGGACCTTGGACTAGCTCTGAAGCTTCCTTACCAGGCTCTCTCCCGTACTCTCTCTCTTTCCTCCCTGTAGTTCAGGCAGGCAAGGGTGAAGGAGAGACAAAGTGGAACTCAAGTGAGGAATTAGTTTTCTGTTGCTCACAGAGCCAGGCCCCTCCACAAGGGGCTTTCACCCTCCCCTTCTTGGTCACCCTGGAGCAGCCATCAGGTGCTGAAGTATTGTTGTTTTGCTTTTCTGTTTCTGGAGTGTCGGGAATAGAACCCAGAGCCTCACACCCTGGGTTCAAACCCTTGTGGATCATGGCATGTGCTCTAAACCCGTGAAGTTTCTGGATGGGACTGAAGAGTAACTGGCCATCAGGGCCAGGCAGACTCAAGGTCAAGGTTTAGGCCAGGGACCAGGCCCGATTGTCCTATCACCCACTGGAGTTGGTCCGGAGGCCTGGGAATCTGGGAGGAATGGATGTAAGTGGCTTTTCTCTTTCGGCCTGGGGGGCAGGGGGTGTTCCATCCTTCAGCCTCAGCATCTTGAGGAGATGGGGTGGGGAGACCTACGGGACTCAAATGGCTCCTGGTCCCTTTGCTGAAGTGGGACTGACTAGCTCTATAGGGATTCCCAGTTAGTGTTATTGATGTTTAGATAAGCCAATTAGTATTTAGTGTTTATATCCAACATTAACCCTGGGGTGGAGACACAGAATGGGATCAAGACCAAAATCAAGCAGACCCACTTCCTCACCCTTTCTGCTAATTCGACCTTTAAAACAGATCACTTCTTGGCAAACTCCTTTCCCGTTCCGTGACAAGCGCCCACCGCCCCAGGTCCTGGCTATGCCAGCCTCCTGAGGATGCTGTGGTCCAACGATGACGGCGACAGTGACGACGACGACAGCCCTCCCAAGCTTCCCTGCGGTGAGCAGGCGACAGCGGCAGAGGTGCCACTCTCCATCCTGCTCCAACAGCGAGTCAGTTCATCTCAACAAGGCACCTTTCCCCAGAGGAAAGCAGAGGTGGGAAGCACGTCCTCGTCTGGCCAGCGGGACTTGTGGGAGGAGCGGCGGAGGCAGGGTCTGCAGCCCCCCTCACCCCCGGAGTCTGATCCCCCAATCCAGAGACAAGATGCATAGATGGAGGTGAGCGGGAGGACGCCTGGAGTCTAGGGGCGGGTGCACTGGCGAAACACGCAGGGAGCGCTCATGCAGGGCTGAGGGGGTGGCAGGGGCCGTCTGAGGAGAGGAGAGGCTCCATTCTTTTCCTGAGGAACAGGACCACGCCAGGCCTCACCTGAGAATGGGGGGCTGCGGTGGGGCTCCACGGGCAGCTGAAAAACATCCCAAGAAAAAAATTACAGACACAAGGCCCTGACAACCCAAACACTCCTGAAATGAGCCCCAAGCTCCTTAAAGGAGTTTCAAAATTTGCTGTTATTCTGGCCAAGAACATGAAGGTGAAGAGAAGCAAGTTTACCCCACAGGAAAACATGATTCCACATTCCCTGTAACTATGGGAAGATTTTTTTGAGGGGTGGTGGTGAGGAGAGTATTCCTGGTGGTGTTCACGGACTATCTCTTTGGCACCCCCACACCCCCACCAAAAAAAAAACCAAACTTTTTTTCCTTTTTTTTTTTGTGGGGATGACACCAGGCTGTGCTCACAGATCTCTACTGGCTCTGTGCTCAGGGAACACTCCTGCGAAAGCTTAGGGAGCACATGTGGTACCAGCACATGCAAGGTAAGTGCCCTACCTTTGGTACTATCTCTCTGGCCCCAAGCCCCCAAAATATTTTTTATTTTTTTTTGCTTTTTTCTTTGGGTCACACCTAGTGATGCGCAGGGGGGTTATTCCTGGCTCTGCACTCAGGAATTACTCCTGGCGGTGCACGGGGGATCACAAGGGATGTTGGGGATCGAACCTCACTCAGCTGCGTGAAAGGCAAATGCCCTACCCTCTGTACTATAGCTCCAGCCCCAGACCCCAAAATCTTTAGGACTACTCTTCTCACCTCTGTTTGTTTTGCTGGGATATATTCTCTGAAAGTGTTTATATTCTTCAGGAGCAGGAAAGTCCTCTACTGGATGGAAAGAGTATTTTGACTCAAAATCATCTGTGGAAGGAACAGAGTGTTAATGCATATTACCGCTCTGCACCTCTGTGCCACTCGGACCCTCTGTCTCCCCGCATTTAGTGCTATTTTTTGTTTGTGAGCATATCACCGATAGTGTTCAGGGCTTACTTCTGGCTCTGTGCTTAGAGATCAGTCTGAGGAGGACTCAGGGGACCATACAGGGCCCCAAGGATCAAACCTGGGTCAGCGAATACCTTACCTGTTCTATCTCTTTGGTCCCCTTTTTTAGGTGGTAAGCAGGGGGGGTGGTTGCGGTGGGGGATTGAGGCCACACCTGGCTTGTTCAGGGCTTCCTTACACTGGGTCTTTGCTCAGGGATCAGTCCTGGAGAGACCTGGGGATCGAACCTGGAGATGGCCGCATGCAGCTGGCTCCCTTCCTGATGTACTATCTCTGGCCCCACTCCCCAGGGGCCTGCCTTGCTCACTAAACCACGGTTCCTCAGGGCAGTAACGTCACTCCTGTGCTCACAAAGGAGATGGTCAGAGGCTCAGATTAAAGAATGAGGCTTTGAACTGATTCTTGCAATTTTCCCACCCCAAAGCAGGCATGTAACGGGAAAGGAGCCCAGTTGTTTGCGTCCGAGCAGAAAAACAGTTTTTTCTTCAGAGACACAGTCATCTTATAGATTATCACCAGGGAAACCAGCCGAGTGGATTCACAAACTGGCAGAAACTCAACTAAAATGAGAACATTTGTCATCAGCCAGAAAGAGATCTAAACACGTCACTCATTTTGTCCTGCAACACGGCTTGCACAGTCACCTCACGGACCCCCGTTCCTACTTCCCATGCCCATCTATGTTAAGATTAACTTTTCTTTCTTTTTTTTTTTTTTTTTTTTTTTTTGCTTTTTGGGTCACACCTAGCGATGCTCAGGTCTGCACTCAAGAATTACTCCTAAAAAAAAAAAATAATTAAAAAAAAAAAAAAGAATTACTCCTGGTGGTGCTGGGGGAGAATATGGGATGCTAGGGATCAGCCGTGTGCAAGGCAAATGCCCTATCCACTCTACTATCGCTCTAGCTCCTTTCTTTTTTTGGAAGGGTTTTCTTGGGTGACACCGGGTGATGCTCAGGGGTCACTCCTGAAGTGCCTGGAGAACCACATGTGGTGCTGGGGATTGAACTGGGGTCAGCCATATGCAAGGCAATACCCCTTACCACCTATGCTAATTCTCTGGTGCTGATGGCTCAAATGTTCCGTGGGTATGGTTCTGTCGCTTTCCAAAGGATATCTTCAAAGCAAAGCCTTGGTCCTATGCCTACTAGAACAGACTGGAGCAAGAGTAGAGAAGAATCAACCATCATAGAACCATCAAGAATATTGGGCTAAAAGGGTCTACACTGATCTTCCTGGGGTCCTCAACCCAGGCCTAACAAGGACAGCCTGGACAACCTTTGCTTGGGTCTCCAGCCCTGAGCCATAATCACTTAGGTGGAGACTAAGCCTCAATTACAACTTGAGAAAGTTAAAAGCTGATACTCTCCTGACGGTTGGTCAGTCTCTTTATTCTACAGAGAATGGAAGTGAGGCCCAGAGATGCGTAGTGACTTACTTCCTCAAAGTAATGGACACAGCTCATTAGTGGCTTTGGACAAGTACTAATACAGTATTTTGTTTCATCTTTACGGTGCGAAAAAAAGACCCCCTCCTTTCACAGAAGATACAAAAGTCCTGTCTGAATAAAATGGATGGTCTCACACCTAAAACTCAGCACAATAAACAATCCCTGGGGAGCTAGAGTGACTTCTGAGGGAGCACAATGTACCACTGTGTGGAGACCTCACTAAGAACAGGACTGTCCAGGTCCCGGGCCTGAGGAGTCTGGGGTAAAGTCAAGGAAGGTACCTCCACAATGGAAGGCCACCAAGAATTTGCTCCCACCCCACGCCATTGGCCCCCTAGGAACTCCAAGAACAAAAGAGTATGCTACTTACCCAGAAAGGACCGGACAGTGGTAATGGAATCTCTGTGGCCATTCCTCAGGGGAGGGGGGGGCGGAGGTGGTGGCCCAGCTGGCGTCCTGGAAGGCGGAGGCGGGGGTTTTCCTCGGCTCAGGGATTCTGACCCATGCATTCGGTATGGTGGAGGGGGAGGGGGTGCGTCCCGGGCCCCATTTCGGATCATGGGTGGTGGAGGTGGAGGGGCTGCAAGGAAAATCCAAGGAGGTTAGTTTCAGAGGCAGAGATGATAGAGATGGTGAGGGATTTCAAAGAATGCCTGGGTGGTATGGTAAGTATCTTATTCATCACCCCATCCCCGCCCAGTCTCATCAACTGCATTATCAGTCTCTCAGATGCAAGATTCCAAATAAATCTATAATCCTTTGGGGCCCGGCCAGGAGCAATAGTACAGTAGGGAGGAAGTTTGCCTTGCACGTGGCTGACTGGGGTTCAATCTCCAGCACCCCAAACAGCCCCCTGAGCCAGCCAGGAGTGATTCTTGAGTGCAGAGCGAGGAAAGTCCTGTGCACTGCTAGGTCTGGTGCCAAAACAAAACAGAACCAAAAAAACCTATAACCCTTTTCCAATTCCCATGACAGGGATGAGAACCCTACCCATTCCTTTGCTTGATCTTTTTGCTTACTTTTCCATGCCTTCCTCCACAATTCTAATTCAGGGCCTTCTCCTCCGAAGTTTAAGGCAAAAATGTTCTCTGTGTTTCTAATCTCTTACCCTGCAATTCAATCTGCATACCACCAACTCACTAATCTCCCCGAAAAATCTTGCTCAGGTTGTTTTCAAGGGCTTTGCACTTCCTACATCATAAAGTTTCAATTCCCTAGCTTCCAGCCTCACTGGGTCGTACCAACTATCCTTTCTTACCCAGTAACCTACTACCTCAGCCCGGTGACCGGCTCATCTTCCCTAACTCCTAGGCTGGACCGGGCAGCCCTCCCATTGCCCCTCCACTGTTACTCCTCTCTCTCCCCCTAGCACTCTACTTCATTTACACGTGCCTCTTCCCTGGCACACAGTGGAGGTAAATCAGAGCAGTGTGCAGTTCTGTACTCAGCACTGGCTTCATAAATAAACTGAAGGGCGTGCGCTTTGCTCTCGGGGCTCCCCCATGATGCCCTTCCTTCACTAACGAAGCTCATCTAGTCCATCCAGTTCAAGGCAATTCCATCTTCTAGAGCTGAGTCTTGGCTTTCTCACAGCCTATGTAGGATGTGTCACTGATTTTAGCACTTAGTAGATTAAAATAATTCAGCAATTTTTCAGGGCTGGAGTGATAGTACAGCAGGTAGAGGATTTGCCTTGCACGCAGCCAACCGGGTTGGATCCCCGGCATCCCATATGGTTCCCCTGAGCACCGCCAAGAGTAATTAATTTCTGAGTGCAGAGCCTAACCCCTGTGCATCGCTGGGTGTGACCCAAAAGGGGGGAAAAAATGAGAGAAAATTTTAAAAATTCAGTAATTTTTCAAATATGTGTAGTAGGTTCTTCTGCTGATGTCTCATACCTCCATTGACAATCTTGTTGGTCAAAAATTGGAAACTGCAGAATTGCTCCCAACTAGTTTACCAGACAGATCCATAAATATAATCAGATGATGGCTACACCTCACTTCTGAAGTTGCTCCACACAAAACACCAAGAAAAATATTTGTACCTATCTCTTTTTTTTGGGGGGACAACCACACCTGACTCCTGGCTTTGTGTACAAGGATCATTCCTGGTAGGCTTGGGGGGCTATAAATCAAACTGGGGTCAGCCACGTGCAAGGCAAACACCCTCGGTATAGCTCTGGCCTCTGTACCGACACGTGAGTCTACTTTGGGGTCATCTTCAAAACCCAAATACACCCTTGAAGGACAAATATCTGCTACAATGTAGGAGGTGACAAAAGCAAGTCTGAAGGAATGACTGGAATAAATCCTGGGGTGCTGCATTACTTCTGTTGCTAAAGTGGTCACAATAATAGCAACTATTTTTTTTTTCTTTTTGGTGCTGGGGACTGAACACAGAGCCTCCTGCATGCAAACTGTCTACTGCCCTGTCCCCAACCCCAGCAGCTACACTATTAGAGATCCTGATTTAAAAAATACTGTCTTGTGCGCATTATGTTCATTATCTCTATTCACCACTGCCACCAGGATTCCTGGCCAAGGGGTGATCAGGTACTGGGTTAAGCTCAAGCCTTCATCCTTCGGGTATTCAACAGTTCTTACAATCACCCTTGCAAAATATCTGTTATTCCCATTTCACCAATGAGGAAATTCAGGTTTATCTAAGGTCACAGAGCTAACAGAATTAAAACCAGCACATACCTGCTGTTTCCACTATGCTTCTCATACTTAACACAAGTGTGTGTGTCTCACAGCAACAAATTTACAACCTCGTGAGATGGAATGAGGTTATCTCTGGAACCCAGGCCATGTCCAGGGAATAGTTGTTACCCAAAGAGAGTACAAATAGGAAGATTGCGTGGCTTAATTGTTTCAGTAATCCACCTACTATTCCTCCTGAACAACTCTGAGAATCCCTAGGGAGAAGCTATAGTTAAACAAGAGCAATGAGACTATGACACAGACAAGGAGCCTAGATCTGTAGGTCCAGCTCATTTCCACTCCTGCAATGCATGCAGAATGCCAACGCTTTTCGAGGTCTTATTTAAATACAGATAGTGGCCATTAGAGGAAATAATTATAGAAATCTCCGAGTCTCATCTTCATTACAAAACTGCTCAATCCGGGAGTACAACGGGTAGGGTGTTTGCCTTGCATGCAGCTAACCTGGGTTCTGTTCAAGCCTCGGTATCCCACAAGGTCCCCAAGCACCACCAGGAGTAATTCCTGAGTGCAGAGCCAGGAGGAACCCCTGAGCACAGCTAGGTGTAACCCAAAAAGCAGAAAAACCAAACCAAACTGCTCAAACCACCGCTCTTTCAGGTTATCCTAGAAATAGTTCCCTGAAAGCTCAGATTTCTCAGAGCCCTGAGAATTTGTCCCTAACCACAGGGCAGGGCGGGGGAGAGAAAGATAGGATTAGAAGTGTGCACAAGTATCCAGGCAGGGGCAGGAATAAGAGCAATCTGGACAGACAAACAGAGCAAAGTGATCTGTGGCCCAGGAGACAGCTCAAAGGGCTGAATACAAGCTCTTTGTGCAAGAGGCCCAGGTTTGACTTTCAGCATCACATGGTCCCCTGGGCACACCAGGAATGATCCCTGAGCCCAGAGTCAGGAGTAGCACAGTGGAGTGTAGCCCAAAAAAACAAGAGGAAAATAAGTATGATCTGCCTAGCAGCCTCAGTGCTTCCCTCTGGTCACCCCAGCCAGGTCTTGCCAGATCCAGAAAGGCTGAGCTCTTGTGCCAGACCCAGATTTACGATCCTGTCAAGTGGGGGCTAGAGCGATAGTACAGCAGGGAGTGTGTTTGTCTTGCATGTGGCTGGAAGACCCGGGTTCTCTCGCTGGCTTCCCATATAGTCCCCCCAGGACTTCTCATATAGTCCTCCTATAGTTCTCCAGGAGTAATTCCTGAGCAGAGCCAGCAGTAAACCCTGAGCATCACTGGGTGTGGCCCCAAAACAAGAAAAATGAAATATCCTGTCATGTGACAAAACTGAACCCTAAGAAACAACTAGTTAAAACAAACCAACAAACAAACAAACAAAAAACACTAAAAAAAAAAAAAAAAAAAACAAGGGGGCTGGAGCGATAGCACAGCGGGTAGGGTTTTTGCCTGCACGAGGTCAAGCCAGGTTTGATTCCCAGCATCCCATATAGTCCCCTGAGCACCGCCAGGAGTAATTCCTGAGTGCAGAGCCAGGAGTAATCCCTGTGCATTGCCGGGTGTGACCCAAAAAGGGAAAAAACAAAAACAAAAAAAAACTTGGGGGTGAAAAATGACCTCTTACTATCCATGATAATCTCAATTTTGAGGAAAAGTGGTAACATCAATTCTCTTTAAAAAAAAAAAAAATAATAAAAAGTCCCTGAACTATCTGGAAGTCCTTTGCATAAAACCATGAATATGCTTGAGTTTACATGGCATTTTCATACAGGGCTTCATTTTACAAACTCCCCGGGAGTTCTGTGAACAGCAATCGAAGATGAAGACGAAAACCGAGTGATCTTTCTTTTTCATTTGGGGGCCATACCTGCGAAGTGTGTGCCCGACCCCCTGAACATGATCTTGCGGGACCATGGCAGACATTTAAAAACTTCTCAGCTCAACCCACAGAATCACACCTTTCTTCACTTCCATTCCTGGATGGGGTTAGAAAGGCCAGACTCTGTTCGTGTACAAGGACTTCTTTCAGGGGGCGAAGCCACACCTGGAAGTGCTGGGAGATCATGTGGTATGAGGGCTGAACACGCGGCTCCCACATACAAAGCACACGCTCACATCCTTTGACAGTCGTCATCCCAAACCCTGTGCTCACATAAAAACCCTTAAGAGAAACCCCTAAGTTAAAAAGGAATTTCAAACCTTATCTGCTGCTCAGCTGCCAGCTCGCAGAGTACAAAGCTGTTACCTAACAAGCACATATAGATAAATGGGCTTTTACACTGCTTCAGGTAACATAGCCTCCTAATCAATGATCAATACCTACAAGGACTGTTCACAGGAAAAAGCTGCAAAGCCATCTGTGCAGGGTGCAGTTCGAAGTATGCTGATCCGGAGAGCTGAGAGAACTGACCTGATTTCCCTCCCTCCAGCTCTCGTTTCAGTCAAGCCAGACTATAAAACCATTACACAACTTCTACCTTTTTTAGGGTTCCTTAATCCCCTCCTCACCCAGTTTAACGCCATGGCCCATTGCAACAATGGCTCTCTTCCACAGAACCCAAATCCCTCTACCTCCCACTCTCCCCCTTAAGAGTCACACGTGCCTCAAAAATGCTAACCCTGGGCCCGACAGAAAATACAGCAGTTAATGCACTTGCCTTGCAGGTGACCGACCCCAGATTCGTCCCCAGAACCAATAGTGAATAACTCCTCAGCATCACTGGGTATGGTCCACATACATGCACACACGCTAATGCTGGTTAGCATGAATGTTTTTTTTTTGGGGGGGGTAGTGGCTGAGGAGGGTGGATTTGTTCCACAATCCCTGAGTGGACACAGGACTTCACAAACACAAACATACATACTGCAACAAAACCTGGAGGGTTTTAACAAGGATTTTTTCTTGCGGGAAAGAGGGTAATTTGTTTTGTTTTGCAATCTCTGGGTATTAAACCCAGGGCCTCCCAAGTGGTTACAAGGCCAAGTGTTGGAACACTGAGCTACAATTCCGGCCATTGGCCCTGGGCACACTCTACCCCTTGGAAGTGTCTGAGGCTGCGAAGCGTGCAGGGTGCTGGCCTCACTGGCAGCCCATGGGCCCGATCTCGAGTGGGCCTTCTGAGGGGCTGCTGCACCTTGCACTTTCCCCGAGTCCCTTCTCTCTCCCACACAACTTGGTCTAAGCGTCTCATGCCCTGTTTGCCTCCAAATCTCCCTCTCCGGGGCTCCAGGGGCAGAACACACAAGTCTGACGTGTGAGGCTCAGCTGCACCCCCGCCCCATGTTTCCCCCACAGCACTGCCAGGTATGGCCCTGGGGGCCTCTGAACCTTCGGGCCCACGTGTTCCTACCACAACCATTGAGCAGCTTTTTTTTTTTCTTTTTGGGTGATACCAGCAACGGACACGCTCTACATTCAGAAATTATTCCTGGTGGAGCTCAGGGGACCATATGGAATGCTCGGGGTCAAACCCAGGTTGGCTGCGCATAAGGAAAACACCCGACCCACTGTGCTATGGCTCCAGCTCCCACTGACCCACTTCTGTCAATATACTCTGCCTTTCCTCCTTTCCGATGGATGATATAACTATCCGTACTCTCATCTTTACCTAAGGTCAACATTTACCTAAGGAGGGTTGGAGTGATAACACAGCAGGTAGGGTGTTTGCCTTGCACGCGACCGACCCGGGTTTGATTCCCAGCATCTCATATGGTCCCGAGGACCGCCAGGAGTGCATGAGTCAGGAGTAACCCCTGTGCATCGCCGGGTGTGACCCAAAAAGGAAAAAAAAAAAGAACAATTTACCTAAAGATCAGATTTCCACTCCTTGCCTTTGAAAGAATATTACTCAGGCAACTCTCTCTGAGTATCATTCCACCGACATACACACAAGACTGAACTATCTCCCATCCTGCACGATGGGGGGAGGGGAGAACCCCTGTGCCCACATGTTCCTCCAGCAAACATTCCATTTACCTGCCTCCTGGCTCCACCGATGGCAAACTCCTGCTTACCTCGTTCTCGCTAAGTTGCCATCTCCAGTTCCGTCTTTCCTGCGCTCCTGAAGTCATCCAAGCAGACTCTCACCTCCACCCTGCGCCACTATTCACATGAGTCCTGAGCGGTTGGGGGGGTCACAATAAAGGGCTCCCACGCTGCCAGAACAATGTCACTCTTCAACTCACCTGCCCATCTGCCCCCAAGGGCACAGTGGAGCTGGTCTGAGGAGCTCGCTCCTCCCTTCCTCCTTCCATCTCCCTCCATCCCTCTCTAAGGACTCTAGTGGATTCTCCGCTTAACACCTTTGAGCTCAAAGGCAGGAGGGCCGGCGGCCTCAGGGCCTCACGGACATTCAGTTTGAGCCAGTCACACCTAGCATGTGGGGTCTTCAGTTCCACTCAAATTTCTCTTCTCAGCCCAGCCCTCTCCCTGGAACTCTGGAGACGGCACTCATATTTCTTCCTGGAAGTACTGTAGGCAATCTCAACTTAACAAGCTGGGACAAGTCCTTGCCTAGCATGTGGCTGACCCAGGTTTGATCCGAAGCAACACATATGGTCGCCCAAGTCATGAGCCCTACTGAGAGTGAAACCTTGAGTACAGAGGCAGGAGTAAGTTTTGAGCACCACCAGGTTTGGCACAAAAAATGAAAGAACCAAAAAATAAAAATTTGACTTAAGTTGTCCCAAACTGAACACCTGCCTTCTCCCAAACTTCCTGTGGTCCTATCCATCTTATCCATTTGTCCAGTTACTAAAACAGCCTACTGGGGAGGGGGGGGGTCCTCCTTTTGCCACTTTTGTTCCCTTGCAATCTGTTCATAATAGCTAAGCTGGTAGGTTTTGTGTGTGTGTGTGTGTGTGTGTGTGTGTGTGTGTGTGTGTGTAAGCTGGTAAGCTGGTGGGTTGTGTGTATGTGTTTGTGTGTATGTATTACATCCAGGAGTGCTCAGTAATCAATCCTGGTAGTGTCTGAGGGGCCTTATAAGATGTTGGGGATTAAACCTGGGTCTGCTGTGTGCAAGGCAAGCGCCCTATCGACTGTACTATTTGACCCCTAGGCTGATGATCTTTTAAAAAGGTAAACGGGGGCTGGAAAGGACAGTACAGCAGATAGGGCACTTGCCTTGTATGTGGCCAACCCGAATCCCAGCATCCCATACCCCCTGGGCATGGCCAGGAGTAATTCCGGAGTGCAGAGCCAGGATTAGCCCCTGAGCATACCAGGTAGGTGACCGAAAAAAAAAGTAACAAAAATAGAAAAAAATTGGTGGGGCTAAAGCAATGGTACAGCCAGTTAGCCTACCCTGACACTACCCTATCTCGCTCCTGATCCCTTAAAATATAACCACATACTGGAGGAATAGTACAGGAAGTAATACACTGGCCTTGTAAATGACTATGCTGTGCTCGACCCTAGTTTGAGGTTTTTTTTTTTTTTGCTTTTGGGGTCACACCCAGATAGATGCACAGGTGTATTTCCTGGCTCTGCACTCAGGAATTACTTCTGACAATGCCTCGGGGGACATATGGGATGCTGGGAATCGAACCCGGGTTGGCTGCGTGCAAGGCAAACCCACTGCGCTATAGCTCCGGCACTGCCTATTTATTTTTAACTAATTTGTCTGATTGTTCAAGACAATGGGATATTGTTGGGAGAGGGAGGTAGAGGTAGTGTGCTTATATCTTTAACGATCCTCTGACACTCAATATACTTCCTGAGAGAGCATCTCATGCTTCCCCATCAATGAAGGAGCTTGGGGCCGAGGGTGAAAGACGTAAGTCAACTCTCGGCTTACAGGGGGGAAAAAGCACTTCCAGGCACTTACCTGCTCCCCGACTGGGAGGATCTCGGGCTGGAGGGGGCGGCCTGTTACTCTGTAAAGAGGGGGACACTGAGGTGGGTGGAGGAGGTGCCAGGCCTCTGACAGGCCCTGGTGTCTTCCTATGCAAAGAATTGTGTCTCTGTGGCAGCTCCGGGGCAGACTCGTTCGTGGGACTGGAGGGTCCGTTGGGGACCCCTGGAGGTTGGCGATAAGGCGGCGGCGGAGGAGCCAGAGACTGGCCACTTGGTCCGGTTCGGATATTCACAGGGGAGGGAGGTGGCTTCACGGGGGGCGGAGCCGGAGGCCCCTCGCGACCAGGGTGAAGCCTCTGTCCGGGGGTGGGCGGCAAGGGTTTCTCCCTGTTGTAGGCCGGGCCTTTGCTGCTGTGCACTGGCAGAGGTGTGGGGGGCGCGTTAGCCCGGCGCCCAGGCGGTGGCGGCGGTGGGGCGGAGGAGCTGTGCTTCATGCCACTACTGCTGGTGCTGTTGGGCCGAGAGAGGTCTGGCAGCGAGGGTCTCTGCATCCGGGGAAGCTCTGGGAGGGAGGTGCGGCTGCTCTCCGTGTCATCCTGAGGGCGCCCAGCAGCTGCTGACACAGGAGGCCGGGGGGCAGCAGCTCGAGCACTGGGGGCTTGCAGGGCAGGCTTCCCAGCCAGGTTCTCTACAAACACACCGGATGGCACTGGGTCAGCAGAGCTAGAGCGTTTCCCTCGGGACGTCCACTTCTCCCAGGCCTGGGGCAGCGTGGCCTCTCCTCTCGCTCCAGGCTCAGAACCACTAAAGAGGCTGCTGAAAAGCCTGATCTGACCCCTGGGCTTTGCTGTATTCCACTCTAACTCTCCTCTATCCCCACTTCCTCCTCCCACCCCTACCACATTCTGCCCTCTTGGGAGCAGACAGTCGACATGCTTAGGAAACACCCTAAAAGCGTACACAAGTTACCTGAAATGTCCTTGTTGCCCACGGGCCTGAGCTTGGGCACGCCGCCTTGGAAGAGAGGTCCTTTGGGCTGCAGGGCCGCTGTTCCGGAGGCATAACCACCACCACTCCCTTTGGGTTCTAGAATACACACCAAAGAGCTTTCACCTTGTGACCAGATCAGTCCTGAGGAGAAACCCTTCCTCTGCCTGGTATTTAATTTCAAAAAATAAAATAAATAAACCCAAAAGCTTGATTTTATTATTTTATTTATGTAGGAGTATTGCTATTTATTCAGCCACTGATTAGATTGCTTTTATTAAAAAAACAAACATATATACATATATGTGCGTAGACACACACACACACTCACACACACACGAGGGGAGAGCTCAAGCTCAAGCACTTGCCTTTCTAGCACACATGAGGCCCTCTATTTGATCCCAGGCACCTCATGATCCCCTTGTGTAGCCCTGGTGGGCGCCAGCACTGCTGGTTGTGACCCCATTAAAAAACAAAGTTAAGAGTCAGAGAGATAGTACAGGGGTATAAGACTTGTAGGCAGTAAACCTGGCTTGATCTCCGTTCCATGGTCCCCAAGCAGCCCTGGAGGCCCCAGAGCACCACCAGAGGTGCACAGGAAACCCCCAACACTGCAGGGTCTACTGGGCATCATCTTTGCATTGACTCACCAGCCCAGTTGGCCAGGCACTGCCAAGTAGGGACTATGAGCCCTCAGAGCATTTCCTGGGACCCCCAACAAAAGTGAAAATTAGAAACACATACTTGTTTTGACTCATGCATGAGCTAACACCCCAAATATCAGACTGGATATCTGTAGCAATTATAAAAGAACTGCGGGCTCCAGAAGGCCAATTCCCAGGTATGGCAGCTCTGTACAGAACAGGCAAGAAATAAGCTCTAACCAGCATGCATCAGAGCAGGAGAGAGTTATCTGAGATCCAAGAACGCTTCCAAAAGGTCAGAAAGAAATCTCTCGAGTGTGAGAAAGAACAGATAGTGAAGAGAAGATAGTCAAGGGACATCTACAGGAAACACTCCCAAAGGACCGCGCTCAGATACTCAAGGTCTGACAACCAAAGTGACATGTTGGCTGAGGTCCAGGCCAACCCCAGGGAAGGAAGCTCACTCACTCTCAAGGATGGGAGCGCTGCGATCGTTAATGTGGGTCACCTTCTTCAGCTTGGTCCCTCTGCAGATGTCCTGCAGGAGAGCCCCGCGGCCCCGCTGCTCCTCCCTGCTCAGCTTGGGCGGCTCTGTGCTCGCCTGGAGGGAGAGGGAAACAGCCCATCGTGAACAGTCCCTTCAGCAAAGCTGGGATAAAGGGCCGAAATGAACGGTATTCCGCTCACTCACTGTCATTCCTACTGTACCACTCCTCCTGGCTCACCTCTGTGAAGGTTGTATCTCTCCGATTCAAGAACTCTGTAAAGGAGGCCGACGCCATGGCTGACAACCTATTTTCTACCAAGGGCCATTTGGATATTACTGTTATTAGGGAGAGTTTAGGGGGACTGTGTGGAGGAACACAGGATACGAGGGACTGAACCCAGGTCAGCTGCATACAAGGCAAGTGCCCGACCTGCTGTACTATCTCTTAAGCTCTGCAGAATACACAATACATGAGACAGCTGCCCCTAAGAAACCTACGTGCCTGTCCAGTCAGGTCCCGAGGCTAGACCACATGACGCTGCAGGCCTTTCTTATATGGATGTTTCCCACCCTGGTCTACACTACTGGTTACCTAGTATCTATGTGCCAGGCTGGTGTGCTATGTACTTTGTATGTTAAGCTCACCATCAAGGCAGACATTTGCTGAGTCCCTGCTAAGTATACTTTAGGCACTGTTCTAAGCACATCACCACAAAATCTCACTTAAGCCTAAAAACAGAGATGGGATCTGGTGCCAGTGGCAGAGCATGGCATGCCTGGTACTGGCATGTGAGATCCTGGGTCAATACCCCCTTCTAACAAGCAACAATACTAGGTGCTGCTGGGTCCCCAAGTTCTACAACTATGATGATGACGACAGAACTAAATCCCAAACTATCCCTATGGGATGAGGCCATCATTACCCATCTGGAAAGTGTGCGTCCAAAACTGAGTAATTTCACAAGCTCTTGCACTGAGAAACTTACTTTACCAGGTAAATGGTAAAGCAAGAAGTCAAACGCACACGCCTTCCCTCAATGCACATGGTGCCCTATTGTCTCCCTCTTCAGACTATCTTCTGAATGACACTATGAAATAGACTTCTCACTTCTAAGATAAGAAAATGAAGGCTTAGGAAAGTTAACACCACGTGACTTAAATGCAGGGCTGAGAGTCTGAGATTTGAATGCTGGCCTGACTGGTATTCTCATTTATCCTCCTGATTTTAATTTTTTTGATTTTAGGGTCTCACAGTGTTCAGGGATTACTCCTGGCAGGGTTCGAGAATCCATATGGTACAGGGGTTGGCAGTGTGCACGTCAAGAGCCCTCCATACTATACTGTCACTCCAACCCCGTCTTTTGTCTCTAGTCTTAACCTCCTGTCCCTGGCCTCAATCCCAGCCCCCTGTCTACACTGTAAAGAGTACCTTTCTAGTAAAAGCCCTATCCAGTTATTTCTGTGGCTGGAAATACTTCAATACCTTCCCATCATCACGAGGAAAAACATTATTTTTTTTGGGGGGGGGTCACACCCTGCAATGCACAGGGATTACTCCTGGCTCTGCACTCAAGAATTATTCCTGGCAGTGCTCAGGGGACCATATGGGATGCTGGGAATTGAACCCAGGTTGGCCGCATGCAAGGCAAACGTCCTACCCGCTGTGCTATTGCTCTAGCCCCACAAGGAAAAACATTTAAGCCCTTGTCTCAGCCTGTACCCCCAGTTTCACCTCCTACATTACACTCTTCTTAAGCAATTAATTCTTTCTCATGCACACATACACAAATAACATTTCCATTTAGACTGAACCAGAAAAAGGAACAGGACAAGCCAATGTGGTTCCTTTTTTTTCTTTTCTTGCTTAGTTTTGTTTGGGGGCCATACCCAGCAGTATTCAGGGGTTACTCCTGGCTTTGCACTCAGAAATCACTCCTGGCGTAGGGGACCATATGAAATGCTGGGGATCAAACCTGAGTCAGTGACGTGCAAGGCAAGTGCTAAACCTGCTAGATTATCTCTGGCCTCTCCGTGGTCCTTGGAAGACCTCTCGAGAGCAGATCTAAAGAGGAAAGACTCTGTTCTACATCTTCCTTCACCATGTCTTTAAATATGCTATTTTATAGGAGGAGAGATAGTACAGTGGGTAGGGCACTTGCCTCATACATGGTTGACCAGGGTTCGATCCCCAGCATCCCATATAGTTCCCCAAGCACCACCAGGGGTGATCCTTGAATGCAGGGCCAGGCATAAGCCCTAAGCATTGCTGGGTGTGGCCCCAAAACAAAACAAATGCTACTTTATACTAGGAAGCCTTAAGTATTCACTGATACTAGGACCAAACTTTAGAGTGTTACAAACAACATTGTAAGGGCTGAAGTGAGAGACTGATAAGGATAGGGCACATGCCTTGCATGTCACTGAAGGCAGGTTCAGTCCTCAGCACCCCATATGGTCCTCCAAGCACCGCCAGGAGTGATTCCTAAGCACAGAGCCGGGGGAAAGTAATGAGCACCACCAGGCATGGCTCAAAAACAACCAAAAAAAAAAAAAAATCAAACCCTGGGGGCCTGGAGAAATATTACAATTTGCCTTGCACACAGATGACCCAGGTTCGATCCCAGCATCCCATATGGTTCCCCAAGCACCACCAAGAGTAATTCCTGTGTACAGAGCCAGGAATAAGACCTGAGAATGCCCCAAAACCAAAACCAAAAAACCAACCAGATTTACAGAGGAAGAATTCTGGGTGGGCAAATCTAGAATACTGAATGAGGGGTGAGGGGCTGCCCACCTGATTAAAGCTGGGAGGCGGAGGCGGCCCAGGTGGGGGCGGCGGGGGAGGAGGAATTGGCATCCTTGCCCTGCTTGCAGCTGGCACTGCTCTCTCTCCGTCTTCTTTTGCAGCTTTAGGTCACTCATATACCTGCAAAGGAAACAGAAAATCATGAGTACCCCCGGCCCCTGGCCACCCCGAGTATCAGGAGACTGACAGGCCTGGCAGGACACCCTCATTTCCTACCTCCCCTGTGACAGGGGCCGGGTCTTAACCAACTTTATTGGGGGGGAGGGGAGAGAAGTTGGGTGTGGAGAGGATGAAGCCCCCAAAGACTGCACAGGGGGTCTGGGGTCCAAAGTAAGGCCAAGCAGTGCCAGGGGCCACTATGGCCACCCCGGTGGTGCTCAGGGCCACCAGAGCCATACCTGGCTGTGCTCAGGGGATCATCTGGGATGCCTGGGACTGAACATGGGTTGGGCACAAGCAAGGTAAATGCCCTACCTTCTGTCCGAACTCTCCACCAAAACTTTTTTAAATATGTAAAAGCTTACAAGCAGAACACTTATCACTAATAGGAAAATCCAAAATAAAAACAAATGGAGAAGGTGGGGGGGAACCTTTATTTGAATTCTTGAGGTTCATTAAGATCGTTCCATTCCAAACCCATACCACACTAACAATAGGGAAAGTAACAGTCTATTCAGAAACGCTTTCAACTCAATTCTAGTCACCTCAAATTCTTTTTTCTGGGTTTTCAAAGGGGAGGATAGGGGGAAGGGAAGTCTAGACAGAGACTGGCTGAGCAAAGGGCAACTGTGCAAGATTACTCACAAGAAACTGCAGGGTTCAGACTCCAGAACAAGTCTCTAAGCCTTCCTCTAACTAGTCACTTACAAAAGACTCTAATCAGGGGCCGGAGAGATGGCACAAAGTGCTGGAACACCTACTTTGCACATAGGGGCCCAGGATTCCCAAGCACCCATGGGAGCAGCCCCCAAGTACCTCTATAGGTGGTGCGAAAATCAAACAGAAGAGAATAAGATACTGTTTTATGACAAAAATTTCATGACCAACTGCTTTCAATTGAAAGACAAAACCCAGGCCGACTGGGAGCACTGTATAAGAATCATTGGACCGGAGTGAAACACAGCAGGTAAGGCACCTGCTTTGCATGTGGCCAACCTGTGTTTGATTCCCTGCATCCCATAAGGTTCCTTGAGCATCACCAGGAGTAATTCTGGGAAGAAGTGGGGAGGACCAAAGAATTCTATCAGGGGTCTTCAGGGGAGGATCGAAAGATGTCCTCGGCCAGCAGGGATCTCTGCAACAGTATAGCCTCAGAATAAAAAGCTAAAATTATCCGAGCACCACCAGGAGTAATGCCTGAGTCCATGAGCCAGGAGTAACCCCTGTGCATAGCTGTATGTGACCCAAAAAGCAAAAAAAAGAAAAAAATGTTTTGGGGCTGGAGCGATAGTACAGCGGGTAGGGCGTCTGCCTTGCACGCGGCTGACCCGGGTTCGATTCCCAGCATCCCAGGAGTAACCCCTGTACATCGCCGGGTGTGACCCCCCCAAAATAAGAAAAAAACTAGTGGCCAGAATAATAGTACAGTGGGTAGGGCCTTTGCCTTGCAAACAGTTGATAAGGTTCAATCCCCAGCATCTCACATGGTCTCCCAAGTACCTCCAGGAGTAATTCCTAAGTACAAAGTCAGGAGTGACTCCTGAGCACCACTGGGTGTGGCCCCTAACCCAAAATAAATAACCTAGGGGCTGAAGCAGCGGTAGGGCGTTTGCCTTGCACGCAGCCAACATGGCCAACACAGGTTTGATTCCCAGCATCCCATATGGTCCCCCGAGCACCGCCAGGAGCAATTCCTCAATGCATGAGCCAGGAGTGACCCGTTAGCATCACTGGGTGTGACCCAAAAAGCAAATAAATAAATAAATAAATAAAATAAGTAAATAACCTAAATAAAACCAACCCTAAATCTTGTGCTATCATTTTTCCTGCTAAAAGACATTAGGTAACATTTCTCTTTGATTTCAGCTTTGATTACAGAATAATTATAGCTTTTATATCAAAGTGTAATCCCATCAGCGGCCAAGACTCAGAGACTATAAAAACCAGCTCCCGGAAGAAGAACAGTGCAGTCTCCTGCCCCCGTGCCTGACTGTCCTCGCCGCCGGGGCCCCTTGGAGGGGAGCGGGTTGAGTTTTCCTCCCCGCCCGACCAGGGCTCCGGCAGCCAAAGACCTCCAGGACCAGCCACCACCATGCTGAGACCACTCTCCGCACACATGAAGGTACTGGCAAAGGGACAAAGTCACGCGGGTTCCGGGGCCGAGATCTCCAAGCCTACTCGGATTTGGGCCGAGCATCCTCCACCCAGATCCTCCAAATTCCAGTAGGCGGGGGTCACACCCACCAACTGGCCCCCTGGCGCTGTGTAATCCCATCAGCGGCCAAGACTCAGAGACTATGCGGCCGCGCGACATCTTATTATGACATCTTATTATCTCATTCCTACTCTGGACAAACTGGCAGGCTACCAAATGTAGCCTGCCCACACGGCAGAGTCTGGCAAACTCCCTGTGGCGTACCCAATATGCCAAATACCAGTACCAATGATGGGTCTCATTCTCCTAAAGAGCCTTGAATATAATCTCAGGGCTAGGATGAAGGAGACGTTACTGGGGCCTGCTCGAGGCAATCGACGATTAACAGGATGATTTGTGATTTGTGATCAAAGCACACAAGGGAAAATCCCACAAGGGAAAAAAGAACCCAACCTGACCTTAATAGGCACCTTCCTCAGCAAAGTTTGGAGGACCATAATTCATCCTGTAAGTATCATACAGAGCCAGTGCAGCAGTACAGCAGGGAGCGAGGTTACCTTGCATGTGGCCAACTTGTGTTAGAACCCCAGCTCCATTATGGTCCCTCATCATCCCCTGGGCACAGAGCCAAAAGGAAACCTAGAGCACCAAGGAGTGTGCCCCTCCCTCCCTCCACCTCAAAACAAATAAACCATGGTGGGGCTTGGGTTTGCAAGGCTGAAGACAGCCTCCCTGAGGCAGGAAATGCAGATTGTAGCTTGCTTAGAAGTCTCTAAGGGCTTTGAAGACAGTCCTTTCTGCAGGCCATTCAAAGCTGCTCTCACACAGTTCCTATCTTAGCTCCAACTGCTGAAGGAGCATTTGGAGAGCTGTAGGCATCCATCAGCCAAGTCACTGTTTCCATCCAAATCAAGTCTCAAAGAGCAGGATATTGAGGCTCTATTCTGGACCAAGTTCAAGTTTCCTAGCCTCCAGAAGTAGGGCTGTGCCAAATCCAAGAAGTGGGTATGTACCACATTTTGGACTTTTTTTTTGGCGGGGGTTGGGGGGTTGTTTTGTTTTGGGGACATGCCTAGCAATGCTCAAGGGTTACTCCTGGCTCTGTACTCAGGAATTACTCCTGGTACTAGGGCAACCATACGAAATTCTGGGGATAGAACTTGGGTTGGCCGTGTATAAGACAAGCACCCTGCCCACTGTATTATCTCTCCAGCCCCTTTGGGCTGCACTGTGTTTAATGCAGATGACTCTAAGACTGAGAAGTGGTGCCTGAGAAGTGGCACACCCCAGAGGGCTGTGGGGTCACATACATGTCTAAGTAGGGCACTTTAGCCAGGTGGTGGGCACTGCACTCCTGAGCCTGCCCCTCCCCCCCACCCATCAAAATGAATCCTATCTCCTGTCCAAAAAAATAGGCATTTTATCAGTATGACTCTAGCTCTTTTAAAAAATAAAGTTTTTCTCTCAATAAAAAGGATCCCAAACTCAGTTGCAATTTCACCCAGTCCTGATAAGCACTTAACAACAGACTCAAAGGCCCCGATGTCTGCCCATAAGTACCAGTCAAACATCACCCTGAAATAAGTCAAATTTTAAACATTTCCTGTAGCAACACCCACTTTACCCAATGTCCCATAGGTCTCTTGGTTGTTTTTTTTTTCTGTGGGGGAAGGTCTTTTCTTGCGGGGGGGGGGGGGGGGGGCGGCAATAGCCAGTGGTGTTCAGGACTTACTCCTGGCTCTACGCCCAGGGATCACTCTGATAGGGGACCATATGGGGCATTCAGGATTGAACCAGAGTTGGACGCATGCAAGGCAAGCACCCTACCAGCTGTACAGTCTCTCCAGCGCTCTCCTGTCCTTTTACAGTATAGAGGAGATGCTTACTTGCTGAGTGACCTGTTGAGCTGAATAAAGTAAATTTAAGAGCTCCACTGGCTAAAAGAGCTTGCAAGTCTAAGGGTGGCGGCAAACACTGAACTATGGATCATGGTGCGGGGAGCAGGGAAGACAGACGGAGCTGTCTACCCAGAGGGAAGAAGAAACACAAGGCTAAGCACAGCCCAGTGTTCCAGAGCGCTTTACTGCTTCATTCTTTCCTGAGTTCATGCAAAAAAGATTTATTGAGCTTATGCCCCACTGAAGCAATTCAATAAATAATTATGATGATAGATTCACTAGGTGTCAAAGCTGTTCTGTAACAATGTTCTCAGGGAGAATGATTCTGCCTCCGAGGAGATGTTTGCCAATGTCTAGAACACACACTGTCACCACTACGGGTACTACTGGCACCCAGAAACAAGGGTGTCAGCCAGGAATATGGCCCAAGTGGGAGAGCACGTGTCCTATAAGATTCTGGGATCGATCCCTGGCAAATCATGATCTCCTGAGTACCTTGAGAAGTGGCCCCCACAATAACTTTTTAAAAGGGGGACTCAAGAAGGGCCGGAGCAGTAATACAGCAGGCAGGGTGTGTACACGAGGTCAACCCACGTTCAATCCCCAGCACCTCATATGGTTCCTCAAGCACGGACTTTCACGGGGACTTTTTTTTTTTTTGCCTTTTGGGTCACACACAGCGATGCTCAGGGGTTACTCCTGGTTCTGCACTCAGGAATTACTCCTGCAGTGCTCAGAGGACCATATGGGATGCTGGTAATCGAACCCAGGTCGACTGCATGCAAGGCAAATGCCCTACCCACTGTGCTATCGCTCCAGCCTCTCACCAGGACTACTTCTAAGCACAGAGTTAGGAGTAACTCCCGAGCATTACCAGGTGTGACCCAAAAACAAAACGAAACAAAAAA